ATGGCACTGACATGTAAATTAATTTAGGTAGAATTATCATTCTTATTATATTGAGTCGGTCTACTCATGAGCAATCGATATTTTTCCAATTGTTTAAATCTGACTTTGTTTGAAAAGTGTTTCGTAATTGTGTTCATATAGTTCCTGAGTTTGTCTTGGTGGGAAGACTCCCAAGTATTTTATACTGTCTACAATTATTTTAAATGGAATTTCTCTTTCTATCTCTTCCTGCTAGACTTTGTTGGTAATACATAGAAATGATGATGGTTTATGTGGGGGTTTTTTATATCCTGCTACTTTGTTGAAGTTGTTAATTATTTAAACTAGTTGTTTAGTTGATTCTCTAGGATTCTCTAAGTATATCATCATGTCATCTGCAAAGAGTGATAGTGTTGTTTCCTCATTGCCTATTCTAATTCCTTCAATTTCTTTTTCTTCTCTTATTGCTATAGCTAACATTTATAGTATAATAATGAATAATAGTGGTGATTGCTTTACTCTTATCTTATTTGGAAGGTTTCTAACTTATCCGCATTATAGATAATGCTTGCTGGTGGTTTTATGTAGTTGCTACTTATCATTTTAAGGAAAGCTCCATTTATTTCTATGCTCTCTTGTGTTTTTAATAGGAATGCATGTTGTAATTTGTCAAAAGCTTTTTCTGTATCTTTTGAGATAATGATATGATTTGTATTAGTTTTGTTATTGATATAGTCAATTATGCTGATAGTTTTCCTAATATCGAACCAGCCCCGCATTCCTGGTATAAATCCCATCTGGTCATAGTGTTTAAAATTTTTGTGATGTATTGCTGTAATCACCTTGCTAGTATTTTGTTCAAAATTTTTGCAGTAATATTCATTAGGGAAATCGGTCCATAGTTTTCTTTCTCTGCTTTAGCTCTTACAGGTGTAGATATCAGAACCATATTTGTGTTGTAAAAGGAATTTGGTGGGACTCTTCTTCACCTATTTTTCCAAATAGTTTTATATAGTATTAGAATTAAATTTTTTTAAATGTTTGGTAGAATTCACTTGTAAACTCATCTGGCCCTGAGGATTTTTTTTTCTTAGGCAGTTTATTGATGGCTTGTTCAACTTCTTTGTCTAAAATGGGTTATTTAAGTATTATATTTCCTCTTCTGTTAATATGGGGAATTTATATTTTTATAAATATTCATGGATTTTTCTTAGATTTTCAAATTTATTGGCTTATAACTGGGCAAAATAGTTCCTAATAATTGCTTTAATTTCCTCTTCATTGGTGGTGAATTCACCCTTGGTAATTTGGTTTTCTTCTTTATTTTTAAATCAAATTAGCTAATGGTTTATCTATTTTATTGCTTTTTTTCCCTTAAAATCAGCTCCGAGTTTTATTCACTAGCTCAATATTTTTCTTACTTTCAATTTTATTAATTTCACCTTTGGGTTTTAGGGTTTTCAATTTGGTGCTTTGTTGGGGATTTTTATTTTGTTCTTTTTTCTAGTTATTTTAGTTGCATGCCCAATTAATTGTTCTACTCGTTCTGTTTTATTGATGTAAAACATTAGACAAATAAATTTCCCCCATGTGCTGTTTTGGCTATTGTTTCATTATTGGCATGCTGTCTTATTGTTGTCATTCTTTTTAATGAAATGATTGATCACTTCTATGACTTGTTCTTTGACCCACTTATTCTTTAGGATTAGATTATTTAGTTTCCAATTAATTTTTAATCTATCTTTCCACTGCCCTTTATTCAATGTAATTTTTATTGCATTATGATCTAAAAAGGATGCATTTAATATTTTTGTTTTTCTGCAGTTGATTTTGAGATTTTTTTGTCCTAATACATGGTCAATTTTTGTGTAGGTGCCATATACCACTGAGAAAAAAAAAGTATATTCTTTTCTCTCCCCATTCAATTTTTTCCAGAGGTCTGTCATATCTAACTTTTCTAAAATTCTATTCACCTCTTTAACTTATTTTTTATTATTTATTTATTAGTAGATGTATCTGGTTTTGAGAAGAGTAAGTTGAGGTCCCCAAGTTGTATAGTTTTATTGCCTGTTTCCTCCTCTACTCACTTAACTTCTCCTTTGAGAATTTGGGTGCTATACCACTTGGTGCATACATGTTTACTATTGATATTACTTCATTTTCTATGGTACCTCTTAGCAAGATGTAGTTTTCTTCCTTACCTCTTTTAATTAGATCTATTTTTGCTTTTGCTTTATCTGAAATCATGATTGCTACCCCTGCTTTTTTTTTTTAACTTCAGCTGAAGCATAATAGATTCTGCTCCAGCCCCTTAACTTTATTCTGTGTGTGTCTCTGTTTCAAGTAAGTTTCTCATAAAATGGTTGTTTTAAGATTCTCATTTTTAAGCCACTTTGCTATCCACTTCTATTTTTGGGAGAGTTCATCCCATTCATATTCACAGTTATGATTACTGACTGTGTATTGCCTTCCATCTTATTTTTCCTCCTTTTTATCTTTCTTTCTCTCCTTTCACCCTCTCCCTCCTCATCAGTGTTTTGCTTCTGACCAGTACCTCCCCCAATCTGCCTTCCTCCCTCCCCCTTTCTTAACCTCCTCCTTTCTTACTTCCCTGTAGGGTAAGATAGATTTCTATATTCAACTGATTGTGTATGTTATTCCCTCTTTGAGTCAATTTCAATGAGAATAAGGTTCAAACAATGTTCACTGCCCACCCTGTCATCTTTCACTTTACTGTAATAGGTCTTTCATGCCTCTTTATGTGAGATAATTTGCCCTATTCTACCTTTCCTTTCCCTCTACTTCCTGTGTGATCCTCTTTCTCACCCCTTAATTTTTTTTATATCATCACCTCAAATGCACCTTATACCCACATCCTCTGTCTATGTATACTCCTTCTAACTGTGTTAATTGTGATACAGTTCTTAAGAATTGCAATCATCACCTTCCCAATAGGGATATAAACAGTTTAGCCTTATTGAATCCCTTATGTTTTCTCTTTCTTTTTTTCTCTTTTTATGTTTGTCTTGAAATTGAAAATCAATTTTTTTTTTGTTCAGCTCTGGTCTTTTCACCAGGAAAGCTTGAAAGTCTTCTATTTCACTGAATACCCATTTTTTCCCCTAGAGGATTATGCTCAGTTTTGTGGGTAGGTGATTCTTGGTTGTAATTGTAGTTCCTTTGCCTTCTGGAATATCATATTCCATGTCTTCTGATCCTTTAATGTTGAAGCTCCTAAATACTGGGTAATCCTAACTATGGCTCCTCGATATTTGAATTGTTTCTTTCTAGCTGCTTGCAATATTTTTTTGCTTGCCCTGGGAATTCTGTAATTTGTTTAGAATGTTTCTTGGAGTTTTCATTTTGGGATCTCTTTCCAGAAGTGATTGGTGTATTCTTTCAATGTCTTGTTCAAGGATATCAGGGCAGTTTTCTTTGCTAATTTCTTGAAGTATGATGTCCAGGTCCTTTCTTTGATCATGGCTTTCAGATAGTTCAATAAAATTATTTTTCCTGGATCTATTTTGCAGATCAGTTTTTTTCCCAAGATATTTCACATTTTCTGCTATTTTTTCATTCTTCTGATTTTTTTGATTGATTCTTGATGTCTCATGGAATCATTAGCTTCCACTGGTCCAATTCTAATTTTTAAGGAGATCTTTTCTTTTCTTTTTTCTTTTCTTTTTTTTTTGTGAGGCATTTGGAGTTAAGTGACTTGCCCAGAGTTACACAGCTAGTGAATGTTACGTGTCTGAGGTCAGATTTGAACTCAGGTCCTCCTAATTCCGGAGCCAATGCTTCACTGCACCACCTAGCTGCTCTGACATCTTTTCTTTAGTTAGTTTTTTTATCTCCTTTTCCATTTTGCTAATCTTACTTTTTAGGCAGTTGTTTTCTTCAATAAATTTTTGTATATCTTTTTCTTTTTTGTATGTATTTCCTTTATCAAGCTGTTGATGCTTTTTTCATGATTTTCTTGCATCACTCTCATTTCCCAATTTTTTTCTATTTCTTTTATTTGATTTTTAAACTCTTTTTGAGCTCTTCTAGGAATTTTTTTGGGCTTCAGACCAATTCATATTTTTCTTTGAGGATTTTCATGTAGATATTTTGACATTGTTGTCTTTTTCTGAATTTGTGTCTTGATCTTACCTTTCATCATAATAACTTTCTCTAGTCTGGTTCTTTTGTTGTTTTGGGGTCCCTGCTTGCTTATGCTAGGCCACAGAGAGGTGTTCAGTGGGGATTGGGCTAGCTACTTGCAACAGTGGGGTGGGCCCTTGGTCACTGATCTGCCCTGGAGCTCAGGACCTCCCGCTGGCTTGCTGAGGCAGGGCCTGCTGCTGGCTTCCTGGGATACTGCCTGCCCTGGACTGTGTTACCCTTCTACCCAAGTAAGACACACCTTTCCTGCCAACTTTCCATGTTGTCTTAGGCTAGAAAATTGTTTCACCCTGTCCCTTTGTTCTTTCTACAATTCTAGAATTTGTTTTGAGGCAGTATTTTATAGTTGTTTGGACGTAAATGGGAGAGTTCAATTGATTTCTTGTTAACTCTGCCATCTTGGCTGCTGGAAGTGCAACTTGTATATATTTGAGGCAAGATTTGAACCTATCTTCCTAACTCCAAGTCCAAAATTCTTGGATATTCTAATTTAGATTCCATATAAATCAACTTAATTCACAAAATAGTGTACTATGTATAATATCATTAGGATAACATCAGAAAATCTTAGAAAATCAGAATTATTATGATTTAGGGGCAAATGAGTTCCAACCTATGGGCCACAGTTAAAAACTGATCAAAAAAAGATTAAATATCATTCTGTGATCCAAGGGAATAAAAAAAAATTTAGAATGACAGGACTGCCTTGTTAAAAACACGCAGAATGTTTTGTCCCCTAATATCTAACGTGTGTGTATATGCATGTATTAATGTATCCATGTGTTTTTCTTGTGGATATGTCCTCCTACCCATTCTTTGGAGGAAAGCACATAGAATGTACTTTATCATAGTCTTACCTTAAAGAAGGTCATTGTTGATCCGTCTCGCACTGCCCCATATTCTATCTTTGTTTGCTTTGCCAAATCATCTGCTGAATCTATGGGGGACTCCATTCTCTCTACTGTTAAGAAGGCAGCCAGATTTGCAGTGTAGGATGAAATGATGATTAAGGTGAAAAACCACCAAATTCCTCCTACTATTCTTGTAGAAAGAGCTTTGGGCATTAGCTCTGAGCCTGTTATCATCAAAGTAAGAATATTAAGTGAGGTCAAAAGAAAAGCATAAACTTACATTGTATACTATTCTTGGGAGATAATGCTTTCATTGTGGAGAATTTTCAATCATCATCTGTATTTTTTTTTTCTACAAACCTGTGTTGATGGTATTAAACAATCAATTCTCTGTCTGAAATCCAAAGGTTTCTAATTGTTTTCTAAAGATGCATTTTTAGTTGAAACCCTATTTCTTTATAATTTCATTAAAATGAATTTTATTGTAGACAGTGTTTTTTAAGTCTATTTATAAAACAATTCCTTTTAGATTTTTGCATAGAAGTACAATATTAAAACATTGAATTTTAATTTTTTTCAAGGTGGAAAACATCTGAGGGATTTTGTGGAGATTTTACAGACTTTATTCTTTTATTGACTGAATTTTCCACTGAATTAGCTGAATGTTTTAAAGATATATGTGGCTACGGTTTGAAAGTAAAGGAAGAAATAATTTAATATTTCAGGCAAAGAGGTTTATACTTAAACCCAGAAATAAACACTCATAATCACCATGAAGATCAAAGAATGTTCAAGGCCTTTGGTAAATTGATCAGAGCACAGGGTTAAAAGACCTTTCAGACTTTAACTGCATTTTCTTCATATTAGCTAGTATCTTTGTGTTTCAATTTGCTTTGGATGGGACAAACAAATTTTATCATAATGATTCCTATTTTTTGTTCTTATTTTAGATTCAGGTATGCAATTTAATCCAAATATAGAAAAAATTATGAGGCACCTCCTAGAATAAGAATTTTTCATTTCATTCTTTAATCTTTTGGTTTTTCCAGGATTCGTTTTTCTGGGAAAGCTGAGTGGTTAGATCTTTATTTGGCTACAATGGAAAAATATTTATTTCCTGTAATAGCTATACGACTAGTTCATATAATTTATTAGAAATGCTGTTATGTTACAGAGGTGGGTTTTTTCTTTTTAGCACTATATATTCTGTGATTGACTTGATAAATTTCCAATTTAGTTTGGAACATAAAATAAGGTAAATAAATGGAACAATGGATGCATAAGTTGTTACTGAAGCATAAGGAATTGGTTATGAGTAAGATTATATGTTAAAGTAGTATTTTTATGGCTATGGATGAGAGTCTTTTGGAAATGGAAAAAATTTAACTAAATTTAATTGAATCAATGCTACTTTTAAACAAGATATTAGGTTTTAAAATCAGGTTATTTAACTTTCATTATTCCTCATCACATGAATTTTCAAATTTTTGTCTTTAACTGATCTGCTTTAAGATGCACCATGGCTTGGTGAAGAGAGAACCAGTCTCAGCCAGGAAGACCTGAGTTTAAGTCTCACCCTTATATATACTGGCTATGTTACTGGGGAAAAGTTATTTAATTTCTTAGTGCTCTAGTCAAGTTCCTAAGACTATAATTTGCAGAGGAAGCAGCAACCTTCATTAGTAGGAGGAATTTTTTGCCTGGGATTTCCCTATACCAATGAAGTTACAGGTCCTTTTCCTGTCAGTGATTTGCTAAATATGTTAGACATTAACCATGAGCTCAGAACTTTGGATGGATGAGTGTGCTTGGGAACTTAAGTGGAATGGAGTACAAATTCCAGTAAAAATCAAGTTTAAAAACAATAATTGCAGAAGTGTCCAATTTGCCTTCTGTGGGCAGACATGACAGCCAATCCTGATCCAGACTTTGCTCATACAATGTAGAAAAGAGAAAGTCTGATCAATAAATTAATAATCAATCCCCCAAATGGCTTCCAGTTGAGCACAGAAACAAGTATCTGTCGATAAAGAAGACTGTAACAGTAGATGCAAATGTTTACTACCATTCCTCTTTTATTCACTCTCCACAATAGTTATGACAGGTGCACTCAACATAACACATATCCCAAGACTCATCTGTGGAAATAAGTACTTCTTTTAAATACTTTTAAGCTTCTTAAAAGACAAGCAGAGTCTGGCTGGGGCTCACTGTCATGTACCCAAGGTAGTGGTAACTAGCAGGCACCACATCCCATGGTTTGCTGTGGATGATGATAAACTCCAAACAGATTGAACATTAAATACGATATGCTAGAAGTGTTCAGTACCCAGTATGGTCATAGTCATGGGCACACACCTACCTGTTATTATAAAATCTGTTTCTCTTTCGTATTTGTTAAAATATCACCTCAGACTTTTTGAAAGTAATTACTCTGCAGATAAATGTCCTAAAAAACAAACTAAATGCACTAAAGATATCATACTTTGGATTTCTAGAAAATCAGGCTTGGTGTCTGTCATTATGAAACAATAAACCAAATAAACCAATGCCTAACTGCATGCAGAACAATTCGTATTCTTTATTTAGATATTTGGGTTTTCAACATGAGTGTATTGCGTATTGTATGTGCTTTGAGTCTAATGTATCTGCCAATATGTGCCTCAGAGAGGTTATTATACCAAGGTACCTCTTGTGAAAGCCTGCATGCCCCTTTGAGCTCGCAGATTGCCCGTGCTATTACCCCTGACAACTTTAAATTGCTCTCTCCTGCTGGTTCCTTGTCTGATGCCTACAAACACACCTGTTTCCCTCATCTATAAAAAATCCCGACCTGATCCTATCATCACTTCTGGCTATTATCTTGTAGCTTTCCTGCCCTTTGCAGCTAAACTCCTTGTGGAAAAAAAGTCTATATATACTTGCTTCTTCCGGTTCCTCTCTTCCTCACTCTTATAAATTCCCTGCAATCTGACCTCTACTCTTATCATTCAATTGAAACTGCTTTCTTCAAAGATACAAATGATAATTGCTAAATTTAATGGGATGTTTCTCTGTCCCGATGTTTCTTGACCTCTCTGCAGCATTTGATGTCATTGATCACTTTTTCTTCCTGAATGTTCTCTCTTTTCTGGGTTTTCCTGACTCTGCTTTCTTGGTTCTCATGTCTGATTACTTCTTTTCTTTGCTGGACCTTCGTTTGTTACCCCTACTAAGTGTAGCTGTCCCCCAAAGTTCTGTCTTGGAACATCTTTGCTCTCTATACTCTTACTTGATAAATCACAACTCCCTTGAGTTCAATTATCATCTTCATGGAGATGATTCACAAATCTATGTATCTAGCGCTAGTCTCTTTCCTGAACTGCAGTCCTGCATTACCAATTGTCATTTCAAACTGGATCTCCCTTAGACCCATCAAACTCATGTCCAACATAGAATTCATTATCTTTCTTCAAAATCTTCCCCTCTTCCCAACTTCCCTACAATTCTCCCAGTCACCTAGGATTCCAACCTAGGTGTCACCTTCAACTCTTCACTCTCATGTCATGTATCCAATCTATTGACTTTTACCTTTGTAACATCTCTCCAATGCACCCACTTCTCTCCTCTGATACTGCCACCACCCTGGTACAGGCTCTCATCACCTCACACTTCTGGGCTAATCTCCCTATTCAAGTCTCCCCCTACTCTAGTCCATTCGCCATTCAGCTACCAATTGATCTTCCTAAAGCATGAGTCTGACCATGTCAACACCTACTCAATAAACTCCAATGGTTCTCTATCATCTTCTAGGATCAAATGTAAAATACTCTGTCATTCAAAGCCCTTTAGAGTTTGTGCATCTTAACAGTCTTTTTACATTTTATTCTCTCTTCCCCGCTCATACTCTGTGATACAGTGACACTGACTTTCTTGCTGTTCCTTGAACAAGCAACTCCATCTCCCAAATCTGGACATTTTCACTGGCTGTCTCCCATGTCTGCAATGATATCCTTCTTCAGCGTTGTCTCTGGTCTTCCCTGGCTTCATTCAAGTCTAAGATAAATCCAAGAAAGTATTTCCCAATCCCCCTAATTCTAGTGCCTTCCCTCTGTTGATTATTTCCAACTTATCTTCTATATCTACATATCTTGTCTGAACATAGCTGTTTGCATCTTGTCACCATCATTACACTGTGAGCTCCTTGAGAGCAGGGATTGTTTATTATCTTTCTTTGTATCCTCAGCATTTAGCACAGTGTCTAGCACATAGTAGGCACAGTGTCTAGCACACCGTAGGCATAGTAGGCACATAAGTACCAGTGTCAAAAAAAATTTTTAAAAATTAAAAAAATAAGTACTAGTGTCCCCTTTTCTTCACTCAGACAGCCCTAATCAGCTCTTGCTTGATCTATTCTAACAGCTTTCTATTAGGACTCTGCCTCGGTCTTCTCTCCATTCCAGTTCAACCTATACATTTGCCAGATTGATTTCCCTGGAGCATAGTTCTCTCCATGTCACTTCTCTATTCAATAAACCCCACTGCTTCTCTTTTACTTCTAGGATCAAAAATTAAAAATCCTCAGGCATTTCATGCCCTTCACAACCTGGTACCCTCCTAATTTTTTTTAGTGTTTCTATAATTTACTATCTCTCCTCCCCACTACATTCCAGCCATATTGGCCTACTAACTATTGCTTGCTCATCAAATTCCATCTTCTGTCTCTGTGTATTTTCTATTTGTATTTTATTTGTATTTGTATTTGTTTATATTTTTGTATGAACTTATTTACAATAAATGTTCCAGATAGAGATGGTGGAGTTTACCAACATGGAAGTTACCGAGCAGACTGTGGGATGTGTGCAGAAATAACGGGTAACCGAGGTACCTTGCTGCATGAGAGCTCCGACTCCAAACCAGAAACTATTTAGTAAAGTAAAATTGTTTTCCACCACATCTGAATCAGGATTGCATGGGTAGGGGTTATACCATTCATAGGGTGTAAACCTGTGGTAGTTAACAGAAATAGTCTGTAAATATCAAAGTTTATACCAACAAATCTGCTGAACAATGCAGAAAAGCCAAAGATTAGTGGTGAAAATAAAATCAGAATATCAAAGTCAACATTTCCAAACTATGGTTTTGCTTAGTTCTGCAAATATTTTCATGAGTGCTCATCCTAAGGCAAAGACTCCACAGTCTCTGGACTTGGATTCTTCACGCCCATGCCTACTGATTCATTTCCAAGTTCTCATCCATTTCTCTAGCTGCACAACTGGATGAATTATAGACAGGGATTCTTCATATGAGAATAGTGGATACAAGGATGCTATCCGAGGCTGCTTAAAAGGAACAGATGTAGTTTAGCAATTGTATGGTTCACTTTACTAGCCAGGAAAGATTGCTGGTGGAAGAAGACTGGATGTTTGGGGATTGTTGCCTTTGGAGAGCACAAGGGAAAACCATAAATTTGATTGCGAGGCCTAAAAGAGAGAGGAGATTTAGACTTAGAAATCACTGGGATTAAATAAGTTTGTGTGCCATTAACTCTAAGCACCTTAAGTATACTCTCAAAGGAAACACAGATTTTTGGATATCTTTGAGCATTCCATGCTTGACGTTTTTCTTTACCTTAATATGGTTGTACTTTTAGCAGTTAAGCATTTTGATAAATGTTTATACTCAACTGATTATCAAATCTAGTTACGAAGTAAATCTGCAGGCAGTTAAGTGATATAATAACAGACTATTGGATCTGAAAGTAGCAAAACCTGAGTTCAAATCCTACCTCAGACAATTACTTGCTGTGTGACCCTAAGCAAATCATTGAAACTTTCAGCCTCAGATTCGTCATCTGTAAAGTGGGTATAATAATGGCACTTACCTCACAAAGTTTTGGGAGGATCGAATAAGATAACATACAGAAAACACTTTGTAATCTTAAAGCATTTCTTCTATTAACTAGCTGTGTGAACTTGGTCAAATAATATAATTTCTCTGGGCCCTAGTTTTTCATAAAATGAGAGAGATGGTTATTCATTTATAATTCCAATGAATAATCAGGAGTTTAAATATAAATTCCTCTATTCCTTACCAAATATCTCCCTACCCATTATTGCCTGGAAACATTTCTTCTATTTCCTTATTTTTTTCAGTGATATCCAGAAAATAAGTAGCAACTCCACTGAAAGCAACATTAGCATGTTGAAATGGGGTACCTCCTCTGAGAAGATTTTTTTTCCATTTGGAAAATCCTATCTTTCCAAGTTAATATAGTTGAACATCTATAAATAAAATTAAAACATACTGAAGGGTCTCTGATCTCCACTCTTTAGCAGCAAAAAAACAAAAACAAAAACAAAAAAACAACAAAACAAAAAACCCAACCTGTTGACACCTTTAGGGGATTAAGGTGAAAAATAAAATATAGAGCTTCTAGTCAAGCCCAAGAATTGGGCAGGTTGGTTGTTTTAATTAGAGATTATTACCTAAATTCCTGGCCCAATTGTAGAAAACATGCCATGTATCCTTTTATTGAATGGAACTAGAATAAAAGTTTTCTAGCTTATCCCATAACAATGAGTTATAACTTCCCTCAGTTCCCAACACTTGCATGACAAAATATGTTCCTTCAGATCTTTAATAGATGACAATACATTTTGATACTGTTTCAGCAAGGGACTTCCAGTATAAAATTAAGCATTTCTGTAACCAGAAAAATACTCTCTCTTTATCTTCCCCCTTCTTCTTCCCTTATCTCCCCCTACCTCCTTCCTGTCAATCTGCTGGACATGTGGAAAGGCTAAGGCATGACAGCTGCACTAATGTTCTTGAAGTGTTGGAAGAAAGTGAATAAATTCTCCAGATATAGAAGTAGGCCACTTCATGGTGAACTAATTGGAGATAATGGGCAAAAACTGCACAGTATAGACTAGCACAGATGGTTCACAATCTATATTATTGGAGGGAATATTCAAATCAATGAAATAACAAATCTGTATATTTTCGGGAAAGTTTAAAAAATATTACATTATATCATTTGACCCTTCTGATGATACCCTGAGGATTGGACTATAGACTCGCCTATGCTCAGCGATAGACGTGGTCTTCAAACTATGGAAGAAAATAGCATTAAAGCCTCAATTGTGCTATAATATTAAGAAATAACATTATGACAGTGTCTTAATTTAATGTCTTTGGTCTCTCTTGAATCAAAGACATAATCAGTCTTCCTCTAATAGAAAGCAATCAATTTCAGGTAGGAATTTTGGTTCCCTGAAACTAAGAAAGTCTTAATCTCACTGCTGGACAGAACTAAGCATGGAAATATCTTTCAAATAAGAGAATTATCTCTTTGTTTTAATTACAGTGAAAGGGAAATAGTTAAAGAAGGAATGATAGGTTTTAGTGGGTTACTCAATAAACATTTATTAATTGTTTATTATATACCAGGGAAATATTTTCTCTAAGGTTGCACCAACATTAATGTTTCCTTGTTCTAGTTGGTAAATAAAATTTAAAAACCACTAAACTTGAACTATATACTTTTGTCTTTGTTACAGAACTGTGTCTTTTGTTTTTGGATACATATATACATACATATGTACTATATATATATATATACACATGTATATTTATATATAAATGGAAATTTATTGGATAGGAGAAATTTTGACCTTGGATCTTTCTTGTATCAGCAATACTACTTTCTCTAAAGACTTTAGTTAAACTGCAGAGTGAAGAATTTTTCTTCCACAAATGCCAGACTGCTGTACAGATCTGATTTACCACCTAATTGATGCTGTGACAAAGAATATTGGTTATTTTTTCCAATTTAATTCAATTTTGTTCAACAATATTATTATTTGAAAAGTACAGTGCTACGCATTTTTCCGTTGAAAAACTATAAAGAACTTAAAAATAATTCCACAGCGTATTTATATAAATCTACACAATTAATTTTGTTCCATTGTGTGACTAATCTTAAAGTCCTTTTTCCTGGCCTTGGTCTTTATCAAGATCTGTGCTCCTATGTATCAAATATATATTGCAGTATTGTCAAGGGAAAATATTTATTTATTTTATTTTAGAAATTTGATGTTTTCCCACCAGAAAATCCATTTTAAAAACTTCACACAAAGTGTTTAGCACATTTTAGTGCTGAAAAGGGGAAAAACAACAAAAAAAGAGCATTTTCAATCTTTTATGTAAAGATATCCAATTTTTATGCAACTGAAAGACAAAATAATGATATTTTAATATAGAATTGAATATATATGGAAAATAAGTTCTATCATAAGTCCAAAAACCCTTTAAAGTTCAATGTGTAAAGCTGAGACCTTAAACATAGAGTAAAATCTGGAAAACAAATAAATAAAAATAAGTTATTCCTTGATGATGGCATAGAGCTTTCATGTCTCTAAGCTTGGTAAATGATGATTTATTTATAATTATCTAAAATCTTCCTTTTTTACTTCCCACTATTTTTTGTAAACAAATTTAAACCCAATACTTTTTATTGTTGCTAAAAACTTTGCAGATTTCCATTTATGCCACTTTTTCTACTCCCTTAGACAATTCTTAGACAACTCTTCCCAGTTTTGCTATACAAATTTTTCAAAAAGACTAAAACATGAGGATAGCCACTCAAGACATTTTAGGACTAAGTTGAAATGACAATAAAATAAAACAAAAAATCAATTACACGTGCCAATATAAGAGGCTGGTGTTAACTGTTATCTTTTTCTAAAGCTAAATTGTATAAATAAAGAGAAAACAGCTTTTACAGTGACTTCAGGTAGAAAATCTTTTCCTATTTGGACATCTGATGAGACTCTGATGCCACTTTAAGATCCTAAATTGTGCTTAGCTCCAGGACATATCATTGGTGAACAGCCGCCATAGAAGCATGTTTAAGTAAGGTCCATTCTTGTTTGACTTACCTTGCAATCACAAAGAGGACACAGCTGACTCCAAGGCAGGCTAAGAGAACATACATCCAAATGTCAGGAGAGAGAGGATTGAGGAAGGAGAAGACGCCAGGATTTGTGCCATTGGGTTTCCTGTATAAAATGCTAATGCCCAGTGTCATGAAGGGTTTGGAAAAGTCGATGACCTTCTCTCTCACATAGGTAATTGTAAGAGGAGCAACTGCCAGGTCGGCTTTCTGGAAAAATAAATCATAAAAGAGTTCATTTTCTCTGACGTAGCATCTAAAATAGGTGTGATGTGTAAAGTGCTCTTTCCCCTCCCTGCCCCTAGTTCCTATAAGTTCTCAAACAGGAAATTTATCATGAGGATTATTTTTTTTTTTTAGGCAATTGGGGTTAAGTGACTTGCCCAGGGTCACACAGCTAGTAAGTGTCAAGTATCTGGTCCGAGACAGGTTTTGCATTCAGGTCCTCGTGACTTCAGGGCCGGTGCTCTATCCACTGCGCCACTTAGCAGCCCCAAGGATTAATTTTAAAATAAGCCCAGCAATCTGAACTGCTATACACACACACATATTAAAATGTGTTTAAATTCACATGCAGATGTAGAATAATTTTCTAATGACCAGGTATCAATATTTTTGACCAGATATACTTCTTTTCCATGGCTAAGACTGGTTGCAAATGACAGATGGGGCCTTTGAAAGTATGTAAAATTCATAGACATGAAATGACCATAAGCTTAGTTGTCCAGGAGACTTCATTCTGTAGCTATAAAGACCAATATTCCCTCATCCTACTTATGAATTACTTGGGTTATTTGAAGGAATAGTAAAGTCTCCTTATCTCCACTATCTCTTTCTATCATAAAAATAATAATAGTCAATGTTTATATAGAACTTCAAGGTTTGTAAAAGTCCTGTATGTGTGTGTGTGTGTGTGTGTGTATAAATGTAAAAGAGTGATATTTAGTTTTTCTTACATGATCTATAAGTTCTTTGACCATCCCATTCCATTCTCCTTTGTCATTCTGGGCTCCATATTTACCATCAGGAACTAGTTTAACATCATAAGTGAAACCCAGAATATTTGACAACTCTTTAAGCAAATCCAGGCAGTACCCTTCAAATCTATTATTCCCATACAGAGGCTTGTCAGATTTTTTGAACATTACATAGGGCTCTTCCTATATGAAAGAAAGTAAACAAATTACAAATAATACTTGATCATACTTATATAGCATTTTAATATCTATTAGGAAGACATAATGTACTTATTCAAGTTCTATAAGCTTACTACATACATGAAATTATTTAAGTTTGAAAACTGTCATCAATACAGGGAAAGATGAGCCAATTACAGAATATACTCATGCTCAATCAGTCTTCTCATTCAAGGTGAACTGGCTATCTGGGTACCTGGACACAGAAAAGATGGAGGAATTGATCACTCGCAAGTATCAAACTGCAGCCTGCCTAGGCTAGTAGTAAATAAGAATCTCAGAGCTGGGAAGGCTAGAGATATGCTGGTAAATGTTAACAACCAGGTTTCAGAAACAAACAAACACTGATGGTTTAATTTGCATTTTAACAAAACACCAATCATGTCCGATTTATAGTGGTTGCCAATTTCTGAGGTGTAAATGCTCACACTGAAAATTGAACAATTGGATCTCACAAGCTAGTTCAAGTTGACTCCAGCATATTCCAGATTTAAGCAGAAGTAGAAGATCCTAGAGTACCTGGATGAGTCAGGATTACAGTGGATGGGGGTATCCAAAGCTGGGGCTGCCATAAACTCCCATTCCCTTCCCTAGGTTCTGATGTTTTGTGTGTATACATGCATACATACATACATAATACACACACATTTGTTTACCTTTTGTTCCCCTAAGGAGAATGAGGAAAGGAACTTTTTGTTTGTTTTATCTTTGTATATTCTTGTCTTAGCCTGGTGCCTGGGCACATAGTAACTTTTTAATAATTATTTGTTGGACTGTATTGGAAACTACCACATGACCAATGGAGAGAAAATCTTCCCCTCACTCCCTTGCACTGGCATCTCAGGGTCTCTAGCTCCCCACCTGCACCTGGATGAGGTGGCCTTTTCTGCTTCTTTCTCCAGGTACAAACTTCCCTAGTTGCAACTCTGCTGAAATCAGTTGATTACATTTTTTGAGCCTCATATGTTTATGTACCGATATAGATCGATGCATAGACACCAGTGTGGGTGTCCTCAGAAAAAAATTCCATCTTATATCTCTGTACTTATACCATGCAGTCCTTCCTCAGTTTCACCCGTTAGAATCCTTTGCACTCTTAGAGGCTCAGCTCAGATGCTACCTTTTTTTGCGCACATGCACACACACACACACACACACACAAGTACGTGTATATATGCATGTGTTATGTAAAAGTATATGCACACACATACATGTATATGTGTAGAAAAATGTTGATTGTGTATGCATGCGCACATATGCACACATATATGTATATATGTGTGTACACACATACACATACACCTTCCAGTAGAATGAAAACTCCATGAAGTTAAAGACTGATTTGTTTTTGTCTTGGTTTCCTAGCATAGTACCTTGGACATAGCAGGCATGTAGTATGTACTTGTTTCATTGGATTGAAATTATTGTAATGATAGAAAACCACTGCAACATAAATTTATTCAATAAAAGCATCCATAAAGAACTGAGTCTTGAAGGAAACTATATATACAGATATAAGATATTTTTAAGAGCAAAGTAAATGGAAAAATTCTTTGGGGTCTAATAGGCAGATGACAGCAAATGAAAACATGATTTTAATAAAGCAGACTTACCAGAATGGTGGTAACTATGAGCGTTCGATTAGCCAGTGAGTCAGTGATATTAGTGGACTTGTCTTTATTGCTGTCAGTCATATTAAGACCACTGTTGGAATTCCAAATTCCAATCTACATAGAAAAGAGGAAATCAGTAGATGCCGGCTATGCATACTACATTCAATCTCATGCTAGTCCCGAATGTGTAGTAATCTTTGGAAACAAAACAAATAGTCCACAGTGGAAGCAACTAACATGATAGAAATATGAAATAGAAAAAAGAGTAAAAGAATTTTAAACAGGGTAATATATCAAAATTATGTCAGATGGCTTTATTTAAATACCTTTAATACATCATTCTTTCAGAAACAATAAGCTACCTTTTTTAAACTTCGTTTTTCTTTGGTCTGTGTTTTTGTTTACAACATGACTAATATGGAAATATCTTTTGCATGACTGTACATATATAACATCAAATCACTTACCTTCACAATGAGGGGCAAGGGGAGAGAGAATTTGGTACTCAAAACTTTTAAAAAACCAAAGGTTTAAAATTTTTACATGTAATTGGAAAAAATATTTTTAAAAAAGAAAAAATAAATAATTATTAAATGAATCCATATATGAATGAGTAAGAAAATGTCTTTTCCCCTTTAAAGAAAAGATAACAATAAAAATGATACACTATGGTACTACATGTATAATTCTGAAAACAAAGCAATAGCTCCAGCATAGCATATCAGATTATCAGTACTAAGATAAAAGAAATTGATTTTTTTCTAATTGTTTTTTTTTAAATCTTAAGAGAAAACCTTTGAAATAAGAATGTTACTTAACTATTTGTTTTAATTGGCAAATACTCAAGTTAATGCTAAGAAGCCAAATCTTTGCCTTTTTCAATATCAAATAATAATAATTATGAAATATCACCAAAAGTATACAAAAGAAGTTAATGGAGGAAAAAAATATTTTAGACAATGTTTAGTCTTTGAAAATCTAGTAAATACAAAATTGATTTATTAAGTTTTTATTTTCTATCCATCTTTCTTTCCTCTATTACCCTTGATTTCTCAATGTGAGTGAAAAAAAATAAATATCTTAATCTGCTGGATGCCATCCCATTTTCAAATTATACTTCTGTTATTTTGTGATCCCTTAATGTCTTGTTTAGTTTCTTCCACCAACACCTTGTCAAATCTCTGTCACTTGTGAAGATTGAGAGAAAAAATTCCTAAAACTAGACACAACTAAATAATTTGAACTTGCAATTAAGCAAAAATCCTTGAGAAAATATTGTGTCAAGTGGATTACCTTTTTTGTCCCTTCCTCCTTGAGACTAATAATGTCCAAATCAAAATCCTTCCTTAAACCATCTGTTTTATTGAAGGTGATACGCCCAGTCAAACCATCCAACTGTGCCTATGAGTAAACATAACAGCATTACTTCTAAACAATTTATAATTATAAAACCATCAAAAACTCGTAAGAGGATACAATTCTGCTTTATCATGCTGTCACAAATTATTTCATTGATACTGTTCTAAATCAGAAAAAAAAGCATTTCACCACATTATTATTGTACATTTTTGTGTACTGTTCTATCACCTTAACACCAGCCCAGTGTCTTCTCTCTTCCAAGAACTGTCCATAAAAGTTTTTTTTTTTTTAAAATAAAGTAGCTCTTGTACTGAACAGATGCTTTCTTAGTTAAGCTAAGCTGATCCTGGGTTTGCTTGAGTAACAGTCCACTAAGAGCAATATCTCAGCCAGATTACTCAATCTGGGTGGCTTCTCTGATTTTCCACTTCTAAGTTGTTTCTCAGTTCAGCTGAACTTACTCTTTGACAGGAACTGTAGCTTATATCACTTCTATTTTCAGACTGCTGAAGACTTCAGCTGAAGTAGCATTATGCTTTTTTAGGAAGAGGTATTGATCTTTATCCTCAGTTGGCAATAGCCCTTCTAATGTTGTTCTTTTGCAAGAGTTTTCTCCTCTACTTCTTAGCAACAAGTGGCAATGCAGAGGAGGTATCTTCTGTCTTCTAATTTCAATAGCAAACTCATAATATGTAGCAGAATGTATTCTCTCTATTCCTTCTCATTCTTCTTGGTAGCACAGATGCGAGACAATGCTCCATACCATAACAAGTAACAGTACAAAGAGATAATTATAGTCTCTTTTTTATACAGTTATGAATTCTGTTTTTTCACTTCTTTCTCTCTGGGTGGGGAACCTGTGGCCTCGAGGCCACATGTGGCCCTCTAGGTCCTCTAGCCCTTTGACTGAATCCAAACTTCACAGAGCAAATCCCCTTAATAAAAGGATTTGCTCTGTAAAACTTGGAGTTAGTCAAAAGGCTACACCCAAGGACCTAGATGGCCACATGTGGCCTCGAGGCTGCAGATTCCCTACCCCTGCTAGGCCTCCCTGCAAAAGACCTCACCATAGCTCCTGACTAGTAATCAAATTCTCATCTTCCATCTTTAGTCAGGTAAATAACATGTGTCCCACAGTCAGAATGGTTCTCGTTTCCATACTTTCCCTGTTATTAATCCAAAAGTTGCTCCAATATTTCAGTTCTTCAGTGGTGGGAGAATTGAAGAATTGGAGCAACTTTGGGATTTATAACAGGGAAAGTATGGAAACAAGATCCATTCTGACTGTTTTGATTGGGTCAAATGTCATTTACCTATGTTCTCCATTTCCTCCAGTATTGTACGGTTTGTCATATTTTTACCATACACTGTGTCAAATGTAATTCAATAACTATTTCTCTTAGAACTCTGAGGAAGATCTATGCTTTCAACTAGTGAACTGTCAAGACAAACTGAACTCAGCAACTGATTTTCTCAGAAGTATACTAGTGCTTCAGACAAGTGATATTCTTCTTATACATATAAAAACTTCCCATATATTTCTACGCTGAGAAGTTCCAAAATATATAGATTTCTAGCTTGTTCACCTTGCCCTAAAACCTAGACTTCAATGAGGTCTGGCTGGATCACCAGAAATTTCCATCCCACAGCAAAAATCAGGTTGGAGTCAGAGTGGCCTTGAAGATCTGGATGAAGGTTTAGAGAGCCTTGTGAAGATCAGATTGATTTATAAGTTATCCAGAATCTTAGAATGGCCCTGTAGAAGGGAGAGTAAGATCATTTGCATAGGAGCTGCTCCAGGAACAAATTCTTTTTTTTTTTAAATAATCTATTTCTTTTCAGTTTTCAACATTCACTTCCATAAGATTTTGAGTTTTAAATTTTCTCCACCTCCCACTCTTCTCCCGCCCCCAAGAATGCATGCAATCTGATATATAGGCTCTACTTATCTATTCATATTAAGCACATTTTCCCATTAGTCAAGATGTAAAGAATAATTAGAACTAATGGGAAGAACCATGAGAATGAAGTAATAAAACAAAATAACAAAGGAAAAGGAGATCAGATCGTATGCTTCCATCTGCATTTAGACTCCATAGTTCTTTCTCTGGATGTGGATCCAATTTCCATCGCTGAGTCTTTTGGAGTTGTGTTAGGTTCTTGCATTGCTGTGAAGAGCCAAGTCTATCAAAGTCAGTCATTGCACAATGTGGCCGTTACTGTGTACAATGTTCTCCTGGTTCTGCTCATTTCACTCAGCATCAGTTCATACAAGTCTTTCCAGGTTTTTCTGAAGTCTGCCTGCTCATCATTTCTTATAGCACAATAGTATTCTATTACATTCATATACCACAACTTGTTCAGCCATTCCCCAATTGATGGGCAGTCCCTCAACTTCCAGTTCTTGGCCACCACAAAAAGAGCTGCTATAAATATTTTTGTACACGTGGTTCCTTTTCCCATTTTTATGATGTCTTTAGGATACAGACCCAGAAGTGCTATTGGGTATAGTTCCAAATTGCTCTCCAGAATGGTTGGGTCATTTCACAGTTTCATCAACAATACATTAGTATTCCAATTTTCCCACATCTTCTCCAACATTTATCATTATCCAATTTTGCCATGTTAGACAATCTGATAGGTGTAAAGTGGTACCTCAGAGTCATTTTGATTTGCATTTCTCTAACCAATAGTGATTTAGAACATTTTTTCATATGACTATAGATAGCTTTGGTTTCTTCCCCTGAAAATTGCCTGTTCATATCCTTTGACCATTTATCAATTGGGGAATGACTTGTATTCTTATAAATTTGACTCAGTTCTCTATATATTTTAGAAATGAGGCCTCTGTCAGAGACATTGATTGTAAAAATTCTTTCCCAGTTTTCTTCTTCCCTCCTAATCTTGGATGCATTGGCTTTGTTTGTGCAAAAACTTCTCAATTTAATGCAATCGAAATTATCCATTTTGCATTTCATAATGTTCTCTAATTATTGTTTGGTCATAAATTCTTCCCTTCTCCATAGATCTGAAAAGTAAACTATTCCTTGCTCTTCTAGTATGCTTATAGTATCAGTCTTTATATCTAAATCCTGTACCCATTTTTACTTTATCTTAGAATAGGGTGTAAGACGTTGGTCTATGCCCAATTTCTACCATATATTTTTTCCAATTTTTCCAGCAGTTTTTGTTAAATAGAGAATATTTTATCCCAAAAATTGGAATCTTCGGATTTATCAAATAGTGAATTAGTATAGTCATTGACTGTTGTGTCTTGTAAACCTAACCTAATCCACTGATCCACCACTCTATTTCTTAGCCAGTACCAAGTAGTTTTGGTGATTGCTGCTTTATAACACAATTTAAGATCTGGTACAGCTAGGCCACCTTCCCTTGCATTTCTTTTCATTAGTTTCCTTGATATTCTGAACTTTTTGTTCTTCCAGATGAATTTTGTTATTATTTTTTCTAGTTCTATAAAATAATTTTTGGTAGTTTGATTGGTATGGTGCTGAATAAGTAAATTAATTTAGGCAGAATTGTCATTTTTATTATATGAGCAACTGATATTTTCCCATTTAGATCTGACTTTATTTATGTGAAAAGTGTTTTGTAATTGTGTTCATATAGTTCTTGGTTTTGTTTTGGTAGGTAGACTCCCAAATATTTTATAATGTCTACATTAATTTTAAATGGAATTTCTCTTTCTATCTCTTGCTGCTGGGCTTTGTTAGTAATATATAGAAATGACGATGATTTGTGTGGGTTTATCCTGCAACTTTGCAAAATTTGTTTATTATTTCAAGTAACTTTTTACTTGATTCTCTAGGATTCTCTAAATATGCCATCATATCATCTGCAAAGAGTGATAACTTTGTTTCTTCTTTGCCTATTATAATTCCTTAAACTTCTTTTTCTTCTCTAATTGCTACAGCTAACCTTTCTAGCCCAACACTGAATAACAGTGGTGATAATGGAAATCCCTGTTTCACCCCTGATCTTATTGGAATTGCTTCTAATTTATTGCCATTTCATATAATGCTTGCTGATGGTTTTTGATAGATGCTATCTATCATTGTATGGAAGACTCCATTTATTCCTATGCTCTCTGGTGTTTTTAGTAGGAATGGGTGTTGTATTTTGTCAAATGCTTTTTCTGCATCTATTGAGATAATCGTATGATTTCTGTTAGTTTTATTGTTGATATGGTCAATTATGCTGACACTTTTCCTAATATTGAACCAGCCCTGCATTCCTGATATAAATCCTACCTGGTCATAGTATATTATTTTTGAGATAAGTTGTAATCTCTTTGCTAATATTTTATTTAAAATTTTTGCATCTATTTTCATTAGGAAAATTGGTCTATAATTTTCTTTCTCTGTTTTGGCTCTTCCTGGTTTAGGTATCAGAGTCATATTTGTATCAAAAAAAGAATTTGTAGGATCTTTCTTCACCTGTTTTCCCAAATAGTTTATACAGTATTGGAATTCGTTGCTCTTTAAATGTTTGTTAGAATTCTCATGTAAATCCATCTGGCCCTGGAGATTTTTTCCTAGGGAGTTCATCCATGGCTTGTTCAATTTCTTTTTCTGAGATGGGGTTATTTAAGTATTTTATTACTTCTTCCATCAATCTGAGCAATTTATATTTTTGTAAATATTCATCCATTTCACAAAGATTGTCAAATTTATTGGCATACAGTTTGGCATCCAGGAACAAATTCTGAGGAGCAATTCTAAAACAACCTGTCCATTTGGGAATTTTCATGTGCTCTTTAGGTTCTTTAGACAGAACTTACAGGTTATCTGTGAAAATCATTACAGCTATTATATTACTACAATCAACCCATAGGAGTCCCAGGGAATTTGTATGTACAATGCAGGACACAGCATAACTAATATATTATCCACTACCCACTGACATCCTCTATTTGACTAGACAGGCTTTTAATTAATGAATTCAATGATTGCGATCTTTTTGTATCTAAAATGAAACAAGGTAGTGGTAAGGAGGAACAGAGATAAGTCCCATTGGAAAGTTATTGAGTGCTTGTTTAAACATGTTTCAATAAATGACTACAACTTAATTTTACTCAGACCAACTCATTTCTGTCATTTAAGGGTTTGCCTTTATAGACAATGTATAGATTGACAGAGGAATAGAGTCACTGAATTTATGCAGCACAAAATGAAGACTGAATAAAGAAATAAGGCAGCAAGAATTACCTCTTTGATCAAATTAATAAATCTGTGTCCAAAGCGCCATGGTTTGTGTCGGTGACACTGCAGGGAGCTGATAGTCATCTGAGAAGCTTGGTGAGAGGCAATAGCCACTGCATACACAGCGTCATACATCAAAGCTGCTTCAGTCTGCAGGGAGAAAACACATGTACTTTCATTTCCGTATTTACTTATCTTTGCTCCCTTTATTTCCTCAATCCTTTGATTACTGAAGGCTTTTATAACTTTATTCTTGTAATACTTATTTCTACTAGTGTTTTTTGAGAGGAATGACTGATTTAAATTTTTTTTTATCTCCAATCACAGTCCATAATCCAGTACTTCAGTAAGTATGCTTGTTGACTGACTTATTCCATTTTACTCTGATATTACAACACAGTGGTAGGGGGGACGATGGGTTCCTAAAGGCTATTCCAAAAAAGCATAAGTTCTGGCAAGTTACAGAAAGCTATCACATACTGAACAAGTCTGCTATTTGAGGACTAGCCTAGTAAAATACAGTATGTGAAATTTCATTATCAATAGGTTGGCCAATAGGTAATGAGTTCTTTGGCTATGGAAACCCATGAAACAAAGAAAAATAAAAGCATAGCCTTCAAATTTGTGTGATTTTCTGTATCCTTTGTCACGATGACATAGGGTCAGAGAACAGTACAAGAGTGCAAAGAATCACATGGGCTAGGTCATCTATTAAAACTATAGGTATTCCTAAATATGAAACCTCTATGCTTTAACTAGTCAATTGTCCTACTACCTGACAAACTAGACTATATCAATATTGATATTCTCATGATAAAAGAAGTTGTCATTAAATGGAAGGAAGACTTGCAGTTTCTCTTTAGAGACAAATAAGTAGCTGGTTTCCTATGATAGCTCAAAGACAATAAGAAACATTATTCATGGGAAACTTGATTACTTCATTTTATAGTGCTAATAAATAGCTTAAGCAAAAAGCATATTGTTGCAGCTTTTGTACCAGCATCTATTGCAGAGGATAAAGATGATTCTCTCACAATATATTTTGATATTTAGTTATTTCAATATAAAGATGGACAACAGGAGAAGATTAATCAATCAACAACAATTTATTATGTACCAAACTATAAACGAGACACTGCTAGGCATTGGTGTTATAAGGACAAATATGAAGCAGTCTCTAACTACAGAGAACTTCATTTCTGACTTTCCACAGAGCAAAAAAAAAGTTTGAATATTGAGTTCCAGTTTAAGGGATCTGCATAATCTTAAAAGTATTTGCAGATCACTTAAAAGATCAAGGGAAGCAACTATTTAAAAATGAATGTTAAAATTGTTTTTGCATGTAATTGGAAAAAATAAAATATTATTCAAAATTTTTAAGAAAAGGAGCTCATTGGGATAAAGGAGGTACAGGATTATCTCCTTGGGATCTCTTTTCAAAGGGAATATCAAGAACATAGCTTCTGTCCATACCATCTGCAGTCAGTTCAAGCAGCATCACTACCAGAGTCTTGGATAAATTAAATTACACAGACACACTCACACACATTATCTATCCATTTCATCCTCTGCCCTCCCCTTTTCCTTTTGGCTTCAATCCTTCCCAACATTACGGCCTTTTGAATGCAATGACAATTTTTTAACATTCTTTTTTTAATGAAATTCTGAATTCTCAATTTCCTCTCTCCCCTTTCTACTTCCTAAGATTTTGAGCAATTTTATATAGATCACATATATGCAATCATGTAAAAGGTATTTCCATATTAGTAATGTTGTGAAAGAAGAAACAGAACAAAAGAAAAAAAAACATGAAAAAAATAAAGTGAAAATAGTATGTTTCAATTTGCATTCAGACTCCATCAGTTCTTTCTCTGGATGTGGATATGAGTACATAGTAATATAGTACTTTTTTCACATAGTAGACTTTTTTTATATCTGTCTTTGATGACTTTCCAGTATTGGCCCAGTAGCAGTGTATAGCTGGGCAAAACAGTATGTGTAATTGAATGACTTTTTAAGACAATTCAAAATTGCTTTCCAGAATGTCTAGACCAATTCACAGCTGTTTTCCCTCAGTCCCTCCAAAAATTGTCATTTTCTTTTTTTGTTATTTTTGTAAATTACAGGTTTGAGGTGGAATTTCAGAATTGATTTAATTTGCCTTTTTTCTAATAACTTGTGATTTTGATAATTTTCTATCAATTTACCAATAGATTGGATTTCTTCCCTTGAAAACTTCATCCTCATATCTTCTATCTACTGAGAAATGGGTATCATTCTTATAAATTTTAATCGGTGCTTTATATATCTTACACATGAAGACTTTATTGGAAAAACTTGCTGCAAAGATTTTTTTTCTCAATTACTTGTTTTCCTTTTAATTCTAATTCTAAGTTCATTGGTTTTGTTTTTGCAAAAACCTTTACATTTTACAAAAATTGTCAATTTTATCTTCTGTGATCATCCCTAACTTTCTTTGGTCATGAACCCATAGCCTGTAGATTTGAAAGGTGATTTATTCCTTGCCCTCCTAAGTTGCTCATAATATCATTTTCTGAGTATAAATTATGCATTCAACTTACATAGTTAGAGATGTTGGTGTATGCCTAAAGTTTATCAGACTAATTTCCAGTTTTCCCAACAATTTTTGTTGAATAGGGGAATGCTTGGTTTTATTGAACATTAGAGGATACCATGTCCTTTTTAATGTCATGGATATAATCTGTTCTACTTTCTGACCCCTCTATTTTTTAATTGGTACCAAATAGTTTTGATGATTACTACTTTGTGATATAGTTTGAGATCTGGCACTGCTAGGCTTCTTTCTTTTCCACTTGTTTTTTCATTATTCTCTTGAGGTTCCTGATCTTTTAATCACCCAGATAAATTACAATTTTATTTTTCTAGCTCTATGTAATCATACTTTGTTAGTTTTATTAATATGGCATTCAATAAGTAATATAATTTAGGTAATACTGCAATTATTTAGATCTGTCTTTCTGTCTACCCAATGGTTTGTAATTGCATTCATTTAGTTCCCAGGGATGTCTTGGTATTATCAAATTATTTTGAATGGATTTTCTCCATCTCTTCATGGTTGCTGAGTTTTGTTGGTAATGTATAGAAATGCTGATATTTACTAATCCGTCATATTTGGTATGCACCAGAAGAAAGTTATGAAAAATGGATTAAGTCATACATTTTATGAATGTTACTCTTATTTGGAATGGGCAAAGAAAGACTTTACATGTGGATTAATTTTATATTCTGCAATTTGGCTGAAGTTTTTGTTTGGGTTTATTATGAGTTGACTCTTTAAGAGTTCTGTAAATAGACCATAATATCATCTGCATAAAAATAGTTACAGTAGTTTAGTTTCTTCTTTGCTTATGTTTATTCTTTTGGTTCCTTTTTCTTGTTTTATTGCTAGAGGTACCATTTCTAGCTCCATGTTAAATAGTAGTGATTATGGACATCCATGATTTAGCACTGATCTGTTTGGAAAGGTCTCTCACCTTTCTTTATTATACAAAATATTTGCTCTTGGTTTTAGACAAATTCTACTTACCTGTGTTTTCTAATTTTTACTAACATAGATAAATATTGGATTTTATACAAAGCCCTTTTTTGCATCTATTGATGTCACCATGTAGGATTTAAAAATCATTTTAAATTTTTTAATGTGACCTATTTTGTTTGTTTAGAGTATAAATCTAAGTTATACTACATAATTTTAAAAATACATCATGGCCTATTTGATAAGATTTTTTAAAAAAATTATTGTAATCAAAGTTCATTAAAGCTATTAGTTTAAAGTTTTCTTTCTCACTGATTTAGGATCAAGACCATATAAGTATCAATGAAAGACTTTAGAACGGAGCATTCTGGGAAGATGGCAGAATATGACAAACAAGATAAAATATTGCCTCAAAATGAACTTTTGCTGCAAAAATAATTAAAAGTTGGGTTAAAGCAGTTGTCCTCCTAAGACAACTTCAGAGGACCTGAGGAAAGACTCAACCTTCAGGGGTGAAGGTTTGACCCAACTGAAGTACAAAGATTGAAAGATTGAAGATTGAAAAACCTTCTACTGTTGCCAGACATCAGGCCCAGGTGTGCTGATCAGACACAGTACCAAGCTGCAGCTGTGGGCAAGGAGAAGCAATCTCCTACCCAGTGAGTGTAGCAGAAGAGGGGTAGAGACCCTGCTGATTGTGGGGACTTGCAGGAGAACAGAGTCTCTGGTTTTGGTTCCAGGGTAGACAAGAAAACTGAAGTTTGCAGCCAAAGGAGAGACCTCAGGGAGCAAGATCGTGCATTTGCAGTGACAGCATAGCTGGTGACCCTACCAGTAGCTCAGTCTGAATCATCATCTCCCACACCTCAGAACTAGAATCTGACAATAATAATAAGCTGCTAAAAATTAATGAGTAAGCAAAAGAGAAAGAACCCTGACCACAGATAGCTACTATGGGGATAGAGAAGATCTGGATTCATGCCCAGAAGAAGATAGTGAAGTTAAAAAAAAACTACTCCTAAGAAAAATGTCAAATGGTCACAAGCCCAAAAAACAGTTCTTGGAAGAGCTTAAAAAGGACTTTTAAAATCAATTTTTAAAAGGTTGAGGAAAAAAATAGGGAAAAAAATAAGAACAATCCAAGAAAATCAAGAAAATTATGAAAAGAAAGTCAACCAATTAGAAAAAGATCCAAAAAATTAAGGAAGAAAATAACCCCTTAAAAACTAGAAATGGGCAAGGAGAAGCTAATGATGTTATAAAATACCAAGAAATAATAAAACAAAATCAAAAGAATGAAAAAATAGAAGAGGATGTAAAACAATTCATTAGGAAAAACAACTGACCCGGAGAACAGATTGAGAAGCGACAATACAAGAATTGTTGGAATGCCTAAAAGTTATTATTATTTTTAAAAGAATCTAGATATGATATTGCAAGAAATCATTAAGGAAAATTGCCCCAAAGTTCCAGAATGAGAGGGTAAAATGAAAATAGAAAAAATTCAAAAATCACCACCTGAAAAAGATACCAAGGTGAAAACTCAAAGGAACATCATAGCCAAGTTTTGAAGCTCCGAGGATAAGGAAAAATATTACAAGCAACAAGAAACAAAAAGCAATTTAAATATTGTGGAGCTACAGTTAGAATAACACAAGATTTAGCAGCTTCTATATTAAAACACCAAAAAGCTTGAAACGTTATACGCCAAAGAGCAAAGGAGCTGGGTTTGCAACCAAGAATAACTTACTCAGCAAAGCTGAGTGTAATCCTGAGTGGAAAAAAATAGACATTTAATGAATTGAAAGACTTACAGGTATTTGTGACAAAAAGAACAGAACTCAATGGAAAATTTGACATAAGATCTAGGAGAAACATAAGGTAAGCATTAAAGACCAATTATAAATAACTCAATAAGGTCAAACTGTTTACTTATATGAAAAATGTTATCTGTACTCTTTAAAATGGTATCATTATTTGGGTAATTTGAAAGAGCATACACAGATAGAAGGCCTGGGGTTGAGCTGAATATGATGTGATAATTCTTAAAAAACAACATTGGATAAAGAGAAGTAAAATGAAGCAATTATCTCATACAAATGAGGTGTAAATGAAAGAATTGTTACAGGGGAAGCAGGTGGAGGTGGAAGGCTGGTAGTACTGGAACCTTATTTTCATTAGAACTGGGTTAAAGAGGGAATGACATATACATCTAGAAAGGTCTTCTAAATTTGGAGGACAAGGGGATAGGATAAGTGAGGGACTTTTAGAAGGGATGTAGATCAAGTAGTAGGAGGGTGAGGGAGAAGATAAGGGAGGGATTCTTAGTAGGGTGGGTAGATTAAGAAATAGGAGGGTAGGGGAAGAGGATGAGGAAGGGCTTCTTTTCAAAGGTGCAAATTAGGGAGGTAGTGGTTAGAAGTAAAACAGACTATGACGAAGGATAGGGTAAAAAGAGAAGATAAGGATAACAGAGAGGAAAAATAGGATGCGGGAAAATATATAACTAGTAATTATAACTTTGAATGTGAATGGGATGAACTTACCCATAAAATGGAAATGGATAACATAATGGATTTAAAAATAGAATCTGGCAATATGTTGTTTACAAGAAATGCATTTAAAAATGAAAGATATACACAGAGTTAAACTTAAGGGCTGGAATGGAATTTATTATGCTTCAGCTTAGATTAAAAAAAATCAGGAGTAGCAATCATGATCTCAAAGTTAATGCCAAAATACATTTAATTAAAAGAGATAAACAGGGAAACTACATTATGATAAAAGGTACCGTAGAAAATTAAGCAATATCAATACTAAACCTAAATGCTATAGTATCTAAATTTTTAAAGGAAAAATTAAATTAATTACAGGTGGAAAGATATAGTAATACTATTAGAGTATAACCTTTATATAAAGTATAACTTTAAACTTCCCCTCTCAGAAAAAGGTAAATCTAACTAAAAAATAAATAAGAAAGAAACCAAGGAGATAAATAGAATCTTAAATAAGCTAGATGTGATAGCTATCTGGAAAGAAATGAATGGGAATAGAAAGGAATACATTTTTTTCTCAGCTGTATGTGGTACCTTTACAAAAATTGACCATATATTAGGCCATAAAAACTCTATAGTTAAATATATAAAAAAGAAATATTAAATACATACTTTTTAGACTACAGTGCAATAAAATTGTATTCAATAAGGACCATATAAACTTGTTTCCACCTGTAAAAAAAAATTAGTCTAAACAACCTGAACTTAAAGAATGAGTGGGTTAAAGAAAAAAATAATAGAAACAATCAATAATTTTATCAAAGAGAATGATAATAATGAGACAACATATCACAACCTATGGTATGCAGCATTTCTCCCATTATTAAAATCAGTCTTTTTGTGAAGTTTTTTTCATCTTATATGTGTGAAAATAATTTGTAAAAAGACTGTCTAATCTATACATGACTATGTGTCCATAGATACAAAGATTTATTAGTGTCCTACATGTTCCATGTTATTAGTTACAAAGCAAAGGAAGGGAAACTGTATTAATAGCTGTTATCTAAAGATTATTCTTTTTAACTTTCTTTTAAATGTGTCTTTGCTTTGATTCTTACTTCATCTTCACTTGGGCAACACACTCTCACTCTTGTAGTAGTAACAGAAAGTTAAACAGAGAAATTTTAGCTTGATACAAACAACGATTCTTAAATACAACTTTAAAAGATACTAGATTACCTTTTTTATTTTGTAACAAATGTGGGAAAATTCTTTCTCCCACATATTTTAAGAAATAATATGGAATCTGTGAATCATTCCCTTTTGCAAAAAAGAAAACTTCTGAATAAATCTCTTTTTGAAAGATGGTCTTTGAAGAATCTTTAAAAGTCAGCTATGGTACTTACTGTCATCATGCCATTAAGTAGACCCATCTCTGACTTGGGTAGAGCTTGCAGTCTTTCCATTGACCACTTCTCAATAATGGATGAAACCCGAGGATTATCGATATTAAGTAGCCGAAATCCAGTCATATTTACTCCACTGTATTTGTAGATTTCCAGGTCTAGTGCAAAGAAATCCTATAGTATTTGACAGAACAGATGACCTAGCACATGCACTGAGGAGATTCTAATTAAATAGTAATGATTTTTTTTTACCTATTTGATTGTTTTTTTGTAAAGGTAAATTTCCTATCCTCATTCTCATTACACTTTGACAAACTCCAGAGAAATAAGCAGTTTTGATTTATTTTTTTTTCTGATACTGTTACAATTATGACAGACAAACATTGGGAATCTATCAACATCCAATATGCTCTGCAGACTGCACAAAATAAATTCCAATACTTTGTAACATAATTTTATATTATAATTTTATCATATAAATCAGTATAAGTTTATAAAATTTATTGCTTTTAGACTCCATTCATAGAATATTAGAATGGAGTGCCAATTTTGTTGTTATTATGTTATGTTGTTTCAGCCCAGTTCTCTATACACTGTGCCACCTAAATGCCTTAACACTTAGCTGCCCCACCATGGTGCCTTGCATTGTTGTTGCTGAGTCATTTTCAATTGTACCCAACTCATTGTGACCCCATTTTGGGGGTTTTCTTGGCAAAGAAACTGGAGTGGTTTGCCATCCAGCTCGTTTTATAGGTGAGAGAATCAAGGCAAACAAGGTTAAGCAACTTGGCCAGGGTCACACAGCTAGTAAGTGTCTGATGCTAGATTTGAACTCTTGAAGATAAGTCTTTCTAATTCCAAGCCCAGTGCTCTTTTCACTTCACCGCCTAGCTGCCTTGGAATGTCCATGGAGATCATCTATTCTAACTTCCTCATTTTGGAGAGGAGTACACAGAAGCCAGAAATATAAAGTGATTTTCCCAAGTCATTCATCTAGAGATAGCAGCATAGAAAAAACTAGAACCCAAGTCTCCAGACTTGGAATGCAGTCCTCCTTGTACAACATGTCACTTTGTTAAGAAAACTATAAGATGTACTAAGCATGTAAATGATTGAAAAATAGTCCATAATTGATCATCAGAACACATGAAATTGTAGATGTTATATGTTTAAACACTATAACCTGAAATTAATATATGAAAAAGAACCTTTGCTTGTATGCCCAGGATGAAGGTTTTTGCAGAGAATAAAAGCATAAGGTTATATAAGCATACACACTATCACAATAGTTTTACTTCCCTCTGAAGCAGCTTGAAGAGAAAACGTATTCTACATATACTTCACTTTATGAAAATAATAGATTAGTATAAACTGTAGGTTTTTTGTAAATTGAGTAATTTTATATTGTTAATTTTATTTATGACAATTATAATAGCTTATATTTATATATAATTTGTTACAGGGTACTATATGTATATATATACATACTTACATACATACATACATAACATGTATATACACATATATATACATAAAAATTTTTTAAGATCATAGGTTGCTAGTTTTTGAAGCAAGTTTAGAGATCATCTAGCCCAATCACATTTTTCAGATGAGGAAACTAAATGTCTTGGATGAATAGTTATGTTTATATAACTCTTAAAAAACAGAACCAAGAGTTGAACCTAGGTCCTCTAACTTCAAATCCAATCTCTACCTCCCCCCAGCTGTTCATCATAGAGCTCGAAGCCTGGAGACAAAAATACTCAACCTCATGACTTCAAATCTGGCCTCAGACATGTTCTAGATGTCTGTTGACAATGACCTTGTAGATCCAATGACTATTCTTTATATCTCCTTTCTTTGCCACAGCTCTTCAAAGGTATGTTAGAAATAGTAGTCTTTGCTCTACCTTCTTGAATCCTGACTCTGAGACAGCTAATTCCTTTCATAGAAATTCCTTAAGCCGTGATGCAGTGTCACATTTTTAAAAAGTTATAAATCTCTGTTTCTATAAACAAATCTTATTGACTTGTCACTTGTTTGACTTTTTTGTTAACATACTGTTGAAGTCACCCACTATGTATTTTTAGCTGTTGCATAACATGTTTGCATAGACTACATGCAGAAATAGAACATTTTCTGTTCAATTTGAAAAGTCCAGTGTTGTATACTTGTGTCAGCCTTTACTTTTGCTTTATGAAGTGAGCTATGCTCTTTCCAAAATTATCTGTGTAAACTTTAAACCTGCTTGTTGTGTGTGCTGACACTTTGGGAAATGCTAATTATTCTGTAGCTCCTTTGAAGTGATGATTTTATTTGGATGCCTTCTGTATTTATTGTAATTAATCTTACCATGCCAAAAGTATATGGTAAGTCTGGCATTGCTTAAATGTTAATTGCTCTAAATGTTCCCACTAAACTTTGACTTCAGGATTCTACTCGATCTCTAAATTCAGTTTCCCCCCTAATAGCTTTATTCTTGCTGTGTCTTGCTATGGAAGACCAAGTTATTTGTATTGCTTCCAACCATTAGTTCAACTTGACCTCTGGATTCAAGCTCCAAGATTTCAGTGTCTGTTTTTTCATGGTGCACATTAATTCTATCAAATTCAGATTACATGTTGATATCACTGGAGAAAATTTCCATGAGACAAAATACTTGTAATGTCCTTTTATGTGTAACCATATAATTTGATGCTATCTATGTATATTAAGTGATTAATAAGATGCTTTGGTATGACTCTCTTTAACTTGAAAGTTTTATTTAATTATAATGGAGTTAATACCAGGAAGAACCATGCCAATATCATCATCATCATCATTATTATTATCTTGATCTAGGACTAATTTTATCTTTATTGAGAACTGCTAGTGTGAGAATTCTTTCTTATAATGTAGATTAGTATCACTTCTGGCAGTGAGAAATTATATAACTGGGTCATGGTCACACAGCTAGTATATGTCAGAAGGAAGACTTGAATCCAGATGGTCTGGACTTTAATACCTGTCCTCTTCTCACTATGTCTCATTTCATTCCTAAGTAGATAGAAAAATGAAAACAGAGATAATTGTCTTAATATACATATGAAAGCAACTTTTAAAATATTTTTAAAAACAGAAACAAAACTATAGTCTATTCTGAAACAGGTGTGAATTTTCAAATTTGTGTGAGTTATAGTCATATGCCTTATTGGGGGAGCATTCTTTGCTTTATGAAGGGGGAGGATTGATTAAATGAGCTATCAGGAATATAATGGCAACTTAATTTCTGTTAAATTGAATGACTAAAATCATGCTACTTACAAAATTTAGCTTATATATTATGGGAGGTGCATATATACATACATGTGTCTGCATGTGTATGCATACACATATAATATGCATTTAATTATATATTAACTATATTTTTCCTAATGAAGCAAAATTTTTGAAGCATAAAGCATTATCCAGTCTGAGGAGCTTCTAATTAACCTATGGCTATTCCATTATCAACTGACTACAAGCTATAAAACAGCATTAGAGCTATGCAAAGACATATTGGTTCATGTTCAAGTGTACAATGCTTATACTTTCACAGTTTCCTTTAATATAATTTTCATTTTAATCCTTTTCCAGGTCATACACAATACTAGTTTTAACAAATATTGTTCAGCACTACAGGATTTAGAAGCTCTGAAGGAAATAAAAGCAAGTATTCTTTTTCAGTTCCCTGCCCTTAATAATAACAAGGTGATACTAAATTTACACAGAAGTTACCCTCCATGGATCTTTCTCTTATATTATGAAATTCTTAATTTTCCTGAGACATTCTTACCAGTGTTGTGAAAAAGTAGTGATAATATTCAGTCATCATACCCATAAAAAGAATCTGTAAAATACAAAATAATGTCAACAAATTATTGAATGGGCTTGAAACTTTGTATGTCAGTTTTACTTTAATTTCAATCATGACAATTGGCAACCATGAAGGAATCTTGAAAGGGAGGCTGTTCCTCAGGGCAACCTCTTAGGAGAAATTTTCTCTGGTAAAATTTTCACTGGTGGGATTGATCCACCGAGAACTATGCCAGAGACCTGACTCATCCATTGATCCCAACTTTTCGATCCAAGGTTGGGGAAGTTGCAACTTTGGTTGTTTAATTTTAATGTAATGTATTGTTGGCAATTAGAGCAATTGTTTGGCAATAATTGGCAGCTGGAAACCCAGAAAGTCACCCTAAGGGACACGCCCCTTAGAGAATTTTTTTCCTCCAAGGAGGACTCTCAGCTCAAGCTAAGGAGTATTCTGAAGGCATGCATCAATGGTATCTCCTTGGAGAAGTCCTTAATAAGTCTGGAAACAAGGAAACTTCCCATTCAAAGGGGTTGGGGAAGACCAGTCCTTTTATTTTGTGAGGGAACTCCCTCTAAAGAAATTCTAAGTACAAACTGGGATGCAGAGAGCCAAGGTAAGCCCCTAATTAGGGGCCTGGGCTCCTGTAAGCAAATTTTCCTTAAGGGATATTGGTGGGACTGGTAGGTGGTTCTAGCTCTGATGAAGGGAGCAGATATGATGAAGGAGCTAGCTAAGCCAGCAGATACTCTTTAGGGAACTTCTGTTTCCATTCCAGGAAGGTGAAGGGGTAACAAAAGAAAGAGCTCACTAATATGTACAAAATTAATCTAAGAAATAAATAGGTCCCAAATTTGATCCAACAAAGAGACTTTCATTTTTAAACTGTGCACACTAATTTTTATTACATAAATTAGGAACTTCGTAAAATGTGGTTCTGTGTGATTTTTCAAGCATGTGCTTTAGCAGAGAGCCTGGAAGGGTGGAGTTTTAAAAACAACTCTCCCAGTTAGCAGGGACTTAACCCTCATAAATCTCTAGTGAGGAATAAGGAGGAAGACTTTGCCAGTAAATGATTTTCTGTGTCTGTCTTGTCATTTTACTTATGTTTGTAAGTCAAAGTAGCTTTTTTCTGGTGCCTTATTAGCCAAAGGAGAAAGAATAAAAACTTTTTCTTGAGAAAAAAGTCTTTCTCTACCTTCCAACTCTGGCCAGGTTGGAAGGCAGACAAGAGACATAGATAAGAGGGAATCTTTGTCCACTAGTCTGCAGAAATTTATGGCATCATAAACTAATTAAAGACAATTTGTGACTGAAACGTAATTTCTCGGCTATGAATTTTCAAAATGTGGTTTGTATGTTTGTAATAAATGCTGAAATGTTTTAGTGAGTTTTGGGGTAACACTAAACTTAAGAATAAAACTGTGGATGTTACATGGAAATAATACTTAGATCTTTTTATCACTCTATTCCCAGAAAGTGAGAGATTTACTGATTTAGTGCAAGGTAGAAGGCAATTTCACTGATAAGAGAAAAGGAAACCAAAACTAGTTTGAAAATTGTATCAGTGAAATACCAAAGTGAAAAAAAAAAACAAAACAGGTTTACAGTTTAAATGTATCTGGTGCTTAAGAACTGCCTATTATTAACTTTTTCCTGGTTCACAAAATGAGAAATGCTTGTGCATATAATTAGATACTTGGGAGTTTTACAAATTAAAATTAAGTAAAAATCAGTTGAGAAAGAAAATTTTAAATTGATGTTTATTTTGAAATCAGAAATTTGACTGTAAACTATATTAGATTCCCCAATTCAAGTATGGATCTTAATTGGAACAGATTTAGAATGACTTGTCAAAGAGCAGATGAGGCCTCTACCCATTTTATAATAGCATTTTTATAATAGAAGCATGAAGCAAGATTTGGGGTTAGATCCAGTCAATCATGATCTCAGACAAAGTTAAAGCTAAAATTGATTTAATTAAAAGAAATAAACAGGGAAACTACATTGTGATAAAAGGTACCATAGCTAATGAAGTAATATCAATACCAAACTTTATGCACCAAGTGCTATAGCATCCAAATTTTTAAAGGAAAAGTTAAATGAATTACAGGTGGAAATAGATAGCAAAACAGTGGGAGACTTTAACCTTCCTATCTCAGAACTATATAAATCTAGCCAAAAAATAAATAAGAAGTCAAGGAGCTGAATCAAATCTTAAGATAGATATCTGCAAAGAATTGAATGGAATAGAAAAGAATATACGTTTCTCTCAGCAGTATATGGTACCTAAAATCTTTATACTTAAATGCAGAAATATTAAATGCATTCTTTTTCAGATCACAATGCAGCAAAAATTAATAAAGGACAGTGGAAACAGATTAAAATTTAATTTTATAATCTTAAAGAATTAGTGAGTTAAAGAACAAGTCATAGAAACAATAAATGATTTTATTAAAGAGAATGACAACAATGAGATAATATACTAAAACCTATGGGATGCAACAAAAGCAGTAGAGGAAAATTTATATCTCTAAGTGCTTATATCAATAGAATAAGAAAGAAGAGACCAATGAATTGGGTATGCAATTAAAAAAAACAAACTAGAAAAAGAATTGAATGAGGGGGGCAGAGCCAAGATGGTGGAGTAAAAGCAGTGACTTGCTTGAGCTCTCCCCCAAACCCCTCCAAATACCTATAAAAAGGCTCTAAACAGATTCTAAAACAGCAGAACCCACAAAAAGACAAAGTGAAACAAATTTCCAGCCCAAGACAACCTGGATGGTTGATCAGAAAGGTATACCACACCGGGCTGGGAGAGGACCGCAGTTCCATGTGGGTGCGCTGGCCACAGTGAACCTGGAGCAGCCCTCAGAGGGCTGAATCATAGGCAGCTGTGGCAGTTTCCAGACCTCTCAACCCACGAACACCAAAGACAACTTAGAAGGTCAGTGGGAAAAGTCTGTTTCTGTGGTGAGAGAGAAGATAGGTTTCAGCCCCAGTTCCCAAGTGCAGCCCCAGGGCGGTGGCTGCCTCCTGAGCTTCTGGCCCACAGACTGAGGGGTAATCGAGTGGCTGATCAGAGGGGATCTCTCTGCTGATGCAGGATTTTCTTGCTTTGCCTGTGCTTGGATCTGGGTCACAGTTCTGGGTAGCGGTTCTGGGGCAAGGAGGAGCGCTGGTGTGGTGGAGCTTGTAGTGGCTGTGGAGAGGAAATTCTCCTCACAGTTCCAAGACAGAAAAGAGTTATTGTGGTCACTCATAGAGCAGAGCACAGGACAGGAAAGGAGTAAACACCTTGCCCTTGATCATAGCACCTTGGAAGAACTGAAAATTTACAGGTCCCTAGAAGTATCTCTGAAAACAGCTGCACAAAACCCCTGAAGCTTGGGACAGTACATTCTCCACACTGGAAATAGACCCCTACCTTAACAAAGAGTTTATAAATCAAGTAAGTGGCTGGGATCATGAGCAAGCAGCGCAAAAAGAGTCAGACTATATTATCTTACTTTGGTGATAAAGAAGATCAAAACATACGACTAGAAGAAGACCACAAAGCCAAAGCTCCTACATCCAAAGCCTCCAAGAAAAATATGAATTGGTCCCAGGCCATGGAAGAGCTCACAAAGGATTTTGAGAAGCAAGTAAGAGAAGTAGAGGAAAAACAGAAGTGATGCTAAAGGAGACCCAAAAAAATACTGAAGAAAGTAACACCTTAAAAAATAGCCTAACCCAAATGGCAGAAGAGGTTCAAAAAGTCAATGAGGAGAAGAATGCCCTAAAAAGTAAAATTGGCTAAATGGAAAAGGAAGTCCAAAAGCTTACTGAAGAAAATACTTCCTTAAAAATTAGAATGGAGCAATTGGAAGCTAGCAACTATTTGGGAAATCAAAGCACTGTAAAACTAATCCAAAAGAATGAAAAAATAGAAGAGAATGTGAAATATCTCATTGGAAAAACAACTGACCTGGAAAACAGATCCAGGAGAGAGAACTTAAAAATTACTGGACTATCTGAAAGCCATGATCAAAAATAGAGCCTAGACATCTTCTTTCAAGAAATTATCAAGGAAAACTGCCCTGATATTCTAGAACCAGAAGGCAAAATAGAAATTGAAAGAATCCACCAATCACCTCCTGAAAGAGATCCCCCAAGGAAAACTCCTAGGAATATTGTAGCCAAATTCCAGAATTCCCAGGTCAAGGAGAAAATATTGTAGGCAGCCTGAAAGAAACAATTCAAGTATTGTGGAAACACAATCAGGATAACACAAGATTTAGCAGCTTCTACATTAAGGGCCTAGAGGGCTTGGAATAGACTATCCTGGAGGGCAAAGGAGATAGGATTACAGTCAAGCAGCAAAACTGAGTATAATCCTTCAAGGTAAAAAATGGTCGTTCAATGAAATAGGGGACTTTCAAGCATTCCTGAGGAAAAGACCAAAGCTGAATATAAAATTTGACTTTCAAATACACGACTCAAGTGAAATATGGAAGAGGTAAACAGGAAAGAGAAATCATAAGAGACTTATTAAGGTTGAACTGTTTACATTCCTGCAGGGAAAAATGATATTTGTAACTCATGAGTCCTTTGTCAATATTAGGGTAGTGGGAGGGAAAAAATTATATGCAGATAGATGGATAGATAGATAGATAGATAGAGGGCATAGGGTGAGTTGAAGATGAAGGGGTGATATCTGGAAAATAAAATTAAGAGGTGAGAGAGGATTATACTGGGAGAAGGAGAAAGGGAGAAGTAGAATGGGGTAAATTATCTCACATGAAACAGACAAGAAAAGGCTTTTACAGTGGAGGGGAAATGGGGGAACGTGAGAGGGAATGAGTGAATCTTATTCTCATAGGATCTGGCTTAAGGATGGAATAACATACACAATTAGGTATGGAAATCTATCTTACCCTACAGGAAAATAAGGGAGGAAGGAGACAAGAGAGCAGGGGGTTGATAGAGGGGAGGACAGATTGAGAGAGGGGATAATCAAAAGCAAACACTTCTGAGGAGGGACAGAGTCAAAAGAGAGAATAGAATAAATGGCGGGGTAGGATAGGATGAAGGGAAATATATTTAGTTTTTCACAACATTATTACTATGGAAGTGTTTTGCATGACTACACATCTATAACCTGTATCGAGATGCTTGCCTTTTAAATGAAGGTGGGTGAGGAAGGAGGAAGGGAGAAAATTTGTAACCCAAAGTTTTAAAAACACATGTTAAAAAATAAAAAATAAAAATAAATTTAAAAAAAAACAGCCATCAAAGTGATTTTTCTTAACATTTTTCTTTATTTATCTTTGGCAATTGGGGTTAAGTGACTTGCCCAGCATCACACAGCTAGTAAATGTCAAGTGTTTGGTCTGAGGCCAGATTTGAACTCAGGTCCTCCTGACTTCAGGGCTGGTGCTCTATCCACTGCGCCACCTAGCTGCCCCAAAGTGATTTTTCTAAAGTGTAGGTCTGACCATATCACCTTCCTACTGATTAAACTCCAGTTGGCTCCCTATCACCTCAGATCAAATAACACATGTTCTGGCATTCAAAACTTTTCATAACTTAGCCTCCCTCCATATCTTTCCAGTCTTCTTACTCTTTCCTCCCTGGCATATACTCTTTTATCCAGTGACACCAGTCGCATTCCTGTTCCACCAATAAGACACTCTATCTCTTGGTTCTGGGCATTTTCTCAGCCTATCCTCCATGCCTGGGATGCTCTTCTTCCCCATCTCTGCCTACTGTCTTTCCTGGATTCCTTCAAGTTCCAACTAAAATCCCATTTTGTACAGAATGCCTTTGCCAAGCCCTCTCAATTCTAGTGCCTTCCGCCTGTTATTTATTTTCTATTTATCCTGTATATAACTTGTTTGTATATATTTGTTTGTTGTCTCCCCCATTACACTGTGAGCTCTTTGAGGGCAGAGACAGTCTTTTGCTTCTTTTTGTATACTATTACTTAGTGCAAGTGCACATAGTAGGCACTGAAGAAAGGCTTATTGACTGACTGACTAGCATTTTTAATCTGTTATTGAGTAAATGTATATATGGTATGACCTTCAAACATGCAATGACAAAAAATCTTGAAAGCATAACAAACAGATTAGACAGCCCAACTGTAATTGAAAAAAGATACATAAAAGCATTGGTCTAAATCTAATTAGGTGAAATTTAGAAAGGATAAATCATCCTCACCAGCACAGACTAGGGGAAGGACAGTTACACAGTACTAACTACTGTACTTCTACACTAACAGTACTTCAACTACTTTTGAAAAAAAAAATCTGAAGGATTTTAGTGGATTATAAATTCAATATGTGTCAATAGTATAATATGACAGCAAAAAAAAATGTGCACATGCAAAATTCCATTTTAGATGGTCCAGACATGATCTTGGTTTATAACATACATAACAACAGACACACATATTCAGACCTCAGAGTGCTACAAAACCCAATGCATAACTTGATAGATTGTTATCACAATTCATTAGAATGCCCTAGTTTAGCTAGTTTCCGGGCTCTTTTATGAAATTTATGAAATTCTAATCCCACATCCTTTTTGCCCTATAGGGTCACTAGAAATGCTGAATTTGAAGAACTGAAACATAGAAAGACAGGTATGAATTAATGTCTTGTAAAAAAAAAAGTAGGAGAACAATATACTTGACTAAATGCAGCAGAACTCAAACTGATTGCAATGACAAATTTGAATCATGAAGGAGAGATATACTTCCTTTTTCTTTTCTTTAATTTTTTTTATATACTTCCTTTTTCCATAGAGGTGAGAACCTGAGGATTGGGATTGGAATGTTGTACATACTGTCAAACCTGGTTACTCTTTTCAGGAAGATTTGCTTAGTTCTTTTTCATCATTTTGAGGAAAGGTTCACTGGGAGAAAGGCTATAGTCAAATTACTGTGATGTACTTTTTTTAAGATAGAAAAGTTACTACACATAACAAGACTAGAAACAGATATTAATAGTTTAAGAAAAATGCTGCATGCTGTTTTTTGTCAATGATATCTTCAGCTCCAGAATACCTAACAATGTATTAACATTAAATTCAGGGAAATTGTATGAAATCACTTTATATCTAAACCCAAATAAATGGAAAGAGACTAGGAATAGATGAATTACTTGAATCTGAAGAGGGAAAACCTGAAGAATCTGAAGGCATTGACAATCTATACTCATTCTATTATTTCATATAGTTCTGGAAATGTTACCAATTGCAATAAGTGTGATGTACTTTTAAAAGTACTTTGACTTACTTTTAAAAAGTAAATGCATATCTAAAGAAGAAATTAATAAAATAATTTTTTATTTATCAGCAGAATTCAGAAATTTATAATTTCTTTATGACTCAACTCCCTTTTTACAAATATAGCCCCCCAAAAACACTTAAGATTTGGGGATAAGAATTCATAATTTGGTGAAAAAATTGTTCGGAAAACTAGAAAGCAAAAAGGCAAAAATTGGGCATAGACCAATATCTTACACCAATTACCAAGGTAAGGTCAAAATGGATACACGACCTAGATATAAAGAGAGATATTACAAGAAAATTAGAAGATTATGCAACATAATTACTTATCAGACTTATGCATAGGTGAAAAATTTATAAATAAACAAGAGATAGAAAGCAAAGTTAGGTGTAAAATGGATAATTTCAATTACATTAAATTTAAAAAGTTTTGTATAAATAAAACAAATGTAGCCAAGATCAGAAGGAGTAGGAAGTTGGGAGAGAAATTTTATAGACAGTTTCTCACATACAGGTCTCATATCTCAAGTACATAAAGAACTTTGTCAAATCTATAAGAATATGAATCATTCTCTAATTGATAAATAGTCAAAGGATATGAACAAGCAGTTTTCTAGTGAAAAAATCAAAATAATTTATAGTTATATGAAAAAGTACTCTAAAATAATTATTGATTAGAGAAATGCAAATTAAAACAACCTTAAAATATTATTTCACACCTACCAGATCAGCTAAAATGATTGAAGGGGAAAGTGATAAATATTGGAGGGGATGTGAAAAAATTGGTACACTAATCCACTGTTGGTGAAACTGTGAACTGATCCAACCATTTTGGAGAGCAATTTGGAATTATGCCCAAAAGAGTTATTAAACTACCCATACCCTTTGACCCAGCAATACCACTACTAGGTCTATTTCCAAAGATGATTAGGGAAAAAGGAAAAGAACCAATATGTTCTAAAACGTTTACAGCAGCTCTCTTTGTGGTGGCAAAGAACTGGAAATAGAAGGAATGCCCATCAATTTGGGAATGACTGAACAAGTTGTGGTATATGATTGTGATGGAATAGGACTGTGCTAATAAAAAATGATGAGCTCAGTGATCTCAGAAAAACATAGAAAAACTTGCATGAAATAATGAAGAGTGAAATGAGCAGAACCAAGAGAACACTGTATACAGTAACAACAATATTGTGCTGAGTGACTGAGTAAAAAATTATAATATTATATATTATAAATATTCTATTATAAATTATAAACACCCAAATTATCTATAAAGGATATATGAAGAAAAACCCTATCTGTATCTAGAGAAAGAACCGATATGAATAGTATGTATGTATGTAGTATGTATAGAGTAATTTTGGGTGTGTGTATGTGTGCGTATTTGTATCTAATTGTAGCTATGCCTAGGGTGGTGGAGGGGTGGGAAAGAAAAAAAAAGAAATTTACATGATAATTTTGTTGTATATTTGAAAGGAATAGCAAGTTGTGCTTAGCAGATTTGTAGTTTCATGTGTAATCATCTTTTTTATGGTACCATATTATAGAAATACTTGTTTTATTCCATAAATTAAAAATAAAATAAATTTTTTAAAAACATAGTCCCAAATATTTCCTATTACATGCACAATATGACTTATCAACAGACATATAATTCAGTAAAAATCTACTGAACTTCTTTAGTTTCATTGCTCTTTACAATAACTCTAATAACTGATATCCTTAATCAAATCCACATGTATAATTTGTAGGAAATTAAAACTAGATAGCCTCTTTGAGAATGAGAAATGAGTATTTCCCTCAAATGCCTACTTCCTTCATATCCACCTTACCTGTTTAAGTATTTCAGCTGCCATTTCATACGAACAATCAAATATTACATAGAACTCCTTTCCTTTCTTCATTTCCTTCAATAAAGGCTTGGCATCTTTATTCCCAGAGGGCAGTTGGCGGATTTTTATTTTAATATTGTATTTGGAAGGAGCCTTGATCAGCTCTTGCAGGCGAATTAGACCTAGATAATGACATATAATCACGCAACAAAAACTTTTGTTGAATGTTTACTACAATTTCATCAGTTATGTCATTCTTAAAATATGTCAGGCTGCCACTATTCAGATTTTATACTTTTGACTGCTGATCTTGTCAACCTTCTCTGGTGCTTTATACAGAAACTTATTAACATCTTAATATGCTTGCCTTGGAAGTATTATATTATTATTCTCATTTTATAGAGGAGAAATTGAGATTCATGGTGGTGATTGGTTAAAGTTGTCAGCAGCTGGTAAGTATTGAAGCTAGCAAACAGTGAATGATGATTACATTTGGTAAAAAAAAAAATAAACAAACTCTATTGTCAAATCTTTTTATAAGGTTAGTTCTTAGCTACATTTGCATTTCTATCCATGACATTTACTCCCTGAAAAATATGCTTCTGCAGGACTTTCATTCCTTTCAGAAAACAAAAGCTAACACAGAAGATGGAAGGCATTTTTTTAAATCCTTTTTTTTTTTAGGAGAACTAATTCCACCAGAACCAATTGAATGGTCCCTATTTAGTTATGTTCAAATGCAAAAGCGTAAATGTCAAAAAGGAAATAGAAAAGAATAGGAAATGGGTACAGCGAGTCAAAGGAAAGGAAGAAGGGACAACTGATACTTATTTCTTAGTCCATTTATAAATTTTATCGAATTGATAATTATAGAATTAATTATAATTATAATACCCTCTTTTTTTTTTTTGGCTAGGCAATGGGGTTAAGCGACTTGCCCAAGGTCAGTAAGTGTTATGTGTCTGAGGCCGGATTTGCACTCAGTCCTCCTGAATCCAGGGCCGGTGCTCTATCCACTGTGCCACCTAGCTGCCCCCATATAATACCCTCTTCACTGTCCATCCTCCCCATCTACTCTAGACCCTCTGTTTCTGGTTAATTGCCCCTATACTTATCTAATTCTTTTCTATTCTCTGCATTCCTCATGGAGTCAGAACTTCCACAATCCTCATTTTGTACTGTCCTCTCTAAGCAATTTCTGCTGCTGCCTCATAGAGCTTGCCACACACATTCTCCTTTTTCATTCTGTGCCGCTCCTAGAAATATGTTAATTTCTTGAGTTGACAAGAGCACACTGCCCCACGGCAGGATGCCCTCCCCATATTCCTGCATATGTAAACCATCACTGGCTTAGACCCTCCCCTTTGTCATCTTCTTTCAATATTTGCCTAAATATCTCCTTTCTGGGTCTATCTCCTTCCACTTCTCCAGGCTCCATTTGCCTTCAGGAGCTCCCCCACTTCCCAAGCCTTGATAAGTGGTCTCTTACAGTACTAAAGTACACCAAATACAAGATCTCCATCTTCCTTCACAGAACATCTTTCTTCACCCAATGAAGCATTCATTAGAGTTATCCTCTCCCTCCAGCAAAACAAGGCCTTTCTCTTCTCCTTTTAAATTCCTTACCCTGCCTTCTCATCAACTCCCTGTCAGTCTTTTCTGTTCCTAAGAGACCACAGGAATCACCTCATTGCTAGCTCTCGACTTGATTTAGACACATCACACATTCCCTTCTGTGTACCTCATCCCCTTCCCCCTTCCATGTACCTTCATATTTTAAAAACCAAGGAAATCAGGAGGTAGAGATGAGGAGGAGAGCATTCCAGGTATGTGGGACAGTGAAAAGACAAAGTCAGAAGATGGTGTTTGGTGTGCAAGGAATGGTCATGTTGCTAGATTATAGAGAATGTGGAGGGGAATAACCAGCAGGCTATTGCAATTATTCAAGTGCAAGAGGTTTATTAAGGAGTGGAAAGTGTGAATGGAAAAAAAGGGGAGTGTATAAAAGATATTGCAAATGTATAAACTATAGAACTTAACAACAGACTGGATATATGGGGTGAAAGAGTAAGGAATTGACAATGAAATCTAGATTGTGAGCTTGGGAGATTGGGAGGATGGTGGCACTTTCGAAGTAAGAGGGACATTCAGAAGAGGAAAGAATTTGGGGAGAAGATAATGAGTTCTGTTTTAGACATGTTGAATTTAAGATGTCTTGGGGACATCTAGTTTGAGATGTCTAAAGCAGATGGAGATGTGAGATTGCAGTTCAACAGAGGTTATGTAAATAGTTGTGAGAATCATCTGCAGAGAGATAATAATTGAATCTATGGGAGGCAATGAGATCACCAAGTCATATATCGTACAGGAAGAAAAGAGTCCAGGACAAATTCTTGGGTAACCTCTATATTTATGGGGCATGATCTGGATGAAGATACAGTAAAAGAAAATGAGGAGAGATTGTGGTAGGAGGAGAACCAAGGGAGAGCAGTGTCACAAAAACTTAGAGTCAAGAGAGAATCCAGGAGAAGAGAGTGATCAACTGTGTAAAAGGTTGAAAAGAGGTCAAGAAGGATGAATATTAAGAAAAATTCATTAGATTTGCTGATTAAGAGAACCTTCATAACTTTGGAGAGAACAGTTTCAATTGGATGATGAGGTCAGAAGCTAGGCTATAGAGAATGTAGACGACTGTTAGAAGGGAGGAAGTGGAAACATCAATTTTAAATGGATTTTTCAAGGGGTTTAGCCACAAAAGGGAGGAGGACTATAGGAAGATATCTAGCTAGGATGATTAGATCACATAGGGATTTAAAAAGTGTTTTTTAAGGGAGTTCTTGGAAAATGCCTTCAATTTCTTGTGTGAAATACAAGTCAATTTCTCAGCTAAGAGTCTGTGGAGAGAAGGTTCCCATGGAAGACTTGGTAAGCAATGAAAATGTATGAAAAAGGCACTGTGGTGGGGGGGAATAGTGAATAAATTAGGGAGATATAAAAGAATTGTCTTGCTGCAGTGAGAGCCCAGTTTATATTAGGTAACCTAAATTTGTTGTAGACCTATTCAGCAGTTTCATAATTATAAGCAAATGCAGTGGATGCTGGAAGTAGTTCAAAGTTGGGGCTTGGCGAGGCTTGACATGTAATAGAATGAGAGGGCAAAGGACACAATTGCAGAGTATAGTCTAGAGTTGAACTAACTCACCAAGGAGTTGAGATAGGGATAGAAGGAGAGTGTAGCCAATGTGGAGGTGATGCCCTAGGAAGGAATTGAGGGGTAGAAGGATTTGAGAATATTGCGAGGATGAAGAGCTAGGCTAGGGGTTGTAAGGTAGCATGAAAGATAGAATGATGAAAGATCATTTCTGATAATGGAATTTCTCAATTCATTAACATTTAAGTGGAACATCAGTGTATTATAGCAAGATCCAGGATGTCACCCTTGTGTCCGGCTGAGGTGGAGTGAAGGGGTAAGTGATAGGAAATGTGTTAGTTGAGGAACTGGGAAGGTAGAGTTTTTGAAGTAGTATCAATATGTTTCTTGAAGTTTTCTAGTCTGAAGGCAGGAGTTCAAATGAAGAGAGATTGTGAGGCTCTTAAGGAAGGAAAAAGAGTGTCCTAAGGCTCAGTAGATAAGAACTACTAGAATCTTTATTGGGTGATAAATATAGATCAAATAAACCTCTAGGGAGGAGGGGCTCCTGAGAGGAGGTGTTAAAGGGAGGGGCTGGAGCAGGGAGCAAGGAACATTCTGACTCACCCTTGAAAACTAGTGAGTCAGTGGAAGTGAGTGAAACTATGACTTGAACAGGAAAGGATGGCCAGAGAAGCTGCATCACCAGCCAGGTTTCTCAACAATGAAGCAAGCATTACAAATAGTAAAGTAGAAGGATTGGGCAGAATTGGATTGGGACATTGCTGGTCAAGAGTTGGGATGGATGAAGTGAGCAGGTTGAAGGGATGAAGAGGATGAAGCAAGAAGGTCATTGCAGCTGGTGATGAGATCGGTTTATATAAAGACAATCAGGTGTTCAGAATCTCTGGGACAGGCAGGATATGGCAGGATGGGAGTATGCTAACCGTTGAGGAATGAGTCCTAGCAAAATATTAATGACTGAAGAGAAATCCATGATGAGACTAGACTGTTCAAGGCCCTTCTCTGATGTCCAACCTTATGATACATAATAATATTGTGTCCTTTTAGTCTCAGGAGGAAGAGAAAGCATAACATGTGGAAGTCTAGACAAGAGACAGGAGTTGACAATTTGGAAAGGGTCGATCCAGAAATGGACTCTGGAGCACTATAGAAGGCTCTGGGGCAAAGAAAGAGGCCAGAGTCAGATGACCTGGATGGGATTAGGATCTCTGGGAAGTCTCAGAGGCAGAGAACTTGATTAAATGGTCCAAGCAAATTCACACTACTGGGTCTATGCTTATTATCATAATTTAATTATCTCCAAGTCGATACTTAGGCAATACCTTCTGTTTCCTTTTTCTTTTTCAGTGACTATGTGGTACTCTGCAGATCCCTTCTCAGATATGATAGCAGTGAGAGTAAAAACCCTATAAGAGTTATTATGGAAACCCTTAGGAAAAGTATTCTGCACCTGTGAGTTCATATATATAATGAAGATTTCCAAATAACTTAGTTAGTTCAGTTAATAAATATCTATTAAACATCTACTATGTGTCAGTCACTGAGCTCATAATCCAATGGTTCACAATGCAATGGTATCTTTCATCTTTAATGTTTGTAAAGTGAAGTATGATTGAAAATGCAAGTGAGTGATTCCAGAAAGCATAGAATCTACATAAAGAACAAATGCTTTTTCACACAAATAGAACTATTTTTAAAAGAACTTTTGTTACATTAAGAACACTAATTTAATTTAACATTTTAATTTAATATATAGGATGAGTCCAACAAGTTTAATTCAAAAGAGTAATAGCAATATTATATATTCATTAGGGAATAGCATAAGGAATAGTAAGTACTTGACAAGAGAAATAAGGTTAATGGTAGAGAAGTTATAACTAATTTTAATTATAAATTTTTTAATTTCAATAACAGAATAATGAACTTGGAGTCAAGGATTTCATTTTGCAAATCCTAAAGTACTATGTAAAATTTTGCTAATTTTTACTAAATTTTTGTAAATTTTCCATAATCTATAAAAATTAATATTAAATTAGGAGAATTAATATCTTTAATTTAGGATAGGATATGCCTAACATCCATTTTCCTTAAAGGAGCAGGCTTAGTTTTTAACTTCAAAATAAATTTTAGTAGTTGTTTTCTCTTAGAGATGTCTCTTCTAAATTTCACCTAATCATTTAGATAATTTTACGTTCTGTGCCATAATCTTATTTAGGGAACAGAGTCTTTAGTCACTGTTACGACAGTGAGAGACAAACTTACTCATTTCTATAAACCTTGCACTAAAAGTAACATAACAGGTTTACCCACAGGGTATTTGTTAATATCTCAATGAATTTCAATGAAAAAGCAAACATTCTGAGGAGGAATGGCTAAAAAAGACTAGGAAATAAAGGAAATAATTTAGAAAATGTATTTACCATCAAGTATACAATTATTTGACCTGACCTTCAGGATGTTAATAGCAGGGACTTTGATATCACCATAGTGTCAGATAACAACCTAGTTAAGTCCCATACCTGTATTGTCTTCATATACCACGGTCACTATTTTCCAGTTATAGTAGAGTATCAAGTCCAGGACGGCCCTACTGAAGGCTGCATAATCTGGATAGAGGTTGATATAAAACATATCATTTTTATCCACTGTTGGATGTTTCCAGTGAGTCTGTATGTGAGGAACTTCGAGGGCATTGCAAATAGACTGAACAGCACTGACTGAGGAGATATGAGATGGGCCGAACAGTGCAGCCACCCCAAGTGCAAGCTGGTCACATGCTGAGGGAAGAAGTAGAAGAAAAGAGAAATAAAGAGAAAAGTGGGAAGGGAAAAGGAGGGAAGAGAAAAGGAAAGAGGGATAAAGACCAAAAATTGTGGACTTTTTTCTTTCAAATTTCCTTATGCATACAACCTCTTAGAATTTTTTCCTACCATGCTCTATGAAAACGAAATATGGCTTGGCTAGTTTAGAATATGAAATGCTAGTGTATTTTTAAAAATAATTTAAAATATATAATAGATTATTATGAAATCAGAGGATTTCAAGTAAATGTTAGCTGACATACTCGCTTCATTAACTTAAAATGGAGATCCCCTACTTAGTATAATTTTGTTATTCTGACAAGCCATTTGTCAAATGGAGGTCATATGAATTAATTCTTGACCTATGTAGAGGAATAATAAAAGTCTTCATTTAAACACAAGATATAGAAGAAAGGTGCTCTACACAAGGTGGCAAACTACCTTTTCCCCCCAAAGGAGTTAATATGAGCTGATTTTGAGCTAGAAAACATATAAAGCATTCATAAAAGGCACCCAAGTCTTTTATAATAATTACTGAGCAAAATGAATGTTTTATAAGTACATGTTTTAATACCATTGGCTTAGTTAATAAAACTATAATTTTGTTAAATTCTAACATTTTTACCTATTAAAATACATTCAATTTAATGAAATTTTAAATCAGAAAGTACTTAGAACCACTTGTAAAGTCATAATTTAAAATAAAAATTAAACGACACATTAATTTAGCAATTTCATAAGAAGTCCAGGAGTAAAATTGTTCTTGTTGCTCAATTGTTTCAGTCATATCTGACTCTTTGTGACACCATTTAGGGTTTTCTTGGCAAAGATACTAGAATAGTTTGCCATTTCCTTCTCTAGGTAAAACTAGGTGATTATAAAATGTGAGCTTGGAGATTGATTTGGAAGAGAATGAAGATGATAAAAAAAAAAGGAATTATTTTCCTTTTAAATTTCCTTTATAAGAAGATCTGTTGGCATAATGCTATCAGCAGAGAAGAGTTTTTTTTTTGTTGATGTCTTTCATATCAAATAGCATACATGAGACAGGTCAGTTTATAATCTTCAGTATTAAAATTTAGCTCTATATTCAAATCTTTACCAGTTGTAGTGAAATTATTTTGAGTGTTCTCATAAGCTCAATATTTGAATGTGGTTTCTTTGGTTATCCAGAAGGATCCATGGTTACCTGAAATGTTTTATATAGACATATAAGACGGATGAGTTTTGCTCTAATATTTAGTTCTGTAATGCTTAAATTATTAAATAAATCAATCATTTTGAATTTTCTTTTGCCACTGATTTACAATGATGGGGTTTTGTTTCTTTTTTTTTTTTTAATATGGCACACCAACCTATGCATTATCCCTAATCTTGTAAAAAAAAAAAAAAAAAAAGGAAATCCTATCATTCCAAAGTGGTGTGAAAGAGCTAACCTCAAACATATTGTTGCTGTCATAGCTATGTTTCTCTTAAATGATGGCTGTTGTATTTTGTTTGAAATTACCCCTAGAATTTGAGCAGCTAGATACAATGTACTACTTTATTTTATATTCAAGAAAATGGAATAAGTAAGGATATCTGAAAATCAAGAACAAGTCAGTGTGAGGAACAGAAATGTGTAGTGGACAGAGATTCCTCTGAGACTCCTCCAGCCCTAGTTGTAGGACACTGGACAAGTCATTTGATTTCTCAAAACACTGGCTACCTCATCTGAAAATCCAGAATAATAATGCTCCATCTATCTCAAAGCATCAGAGGATCATATATTTAGAGCTGGAAGGAAGCATGAAAGGGCTTCATGTCCAATTCTCCTTATTTTGCAGTAGAAGCTGGGACTCAGAAAGATTAAATGATTGATAATGGTTACAAAGTTAGTATATGAAACACTATTCCGAGTCAAGTATCCCTGATTACAAATCCAGAAATGTAGAAAGTGTTTTATAAACCTTAAAACGCTATCTAGATATGTGTTATTTTTACTTGAAGCTACCAAACAAAAGCTTCAAAGCAGGTATATTTTTCTTATTGTGATTTTGTTCACACGTTTTTGATTTATGTTTAAAAACTATACAGCTTTCTTTTTATAAGGAAAGTGGTTTCTCAAGTCTTGAAAGGACAGACCTACATTGGAGAAGGTTCTTCCTACCTGCTCTGAGAACCAGCAAATTGTGAAATTTTCATTTTTGATTGAAGAAAGTGTTGAAGAGAAAAGAAAAAGAATATGTTGAGGGGGCAGAGCCAAGATAGCAAAGTAAAGGCAAGGACTTGTCTGAGCTCTCCCAAATGCTCCTCCAAACAATGTTAAAATAGCACCTCAAAATGAATTCTAGAGTAGCAGAACCAACAAAAGGATGAGGCAAAACAACTTTCCAACCCAAGATAACTTAGAAGGTCAACAGGAAAGATCAGTCTCACGGGGTGAAAGTGGAGCATGCTCCAGATCAAGCCTTGCCCAGCAGCAGGCCCTAGGAGTGACTGAATTGGCAGCTACAGTTTCTGGAGCTCTCTGACTGTAGATAGTAAGGGGGTTGGACAACTGGTAAGAAGAAGATTACAGGGGACCCTTTCCTGGCACTGGCCTCAGGACTCTGTTGCATTTCCCATGTGCTATTCCTGGTTACAGTCCCAGGGCAAGGAGGAACACTAGCTCAAGACCTTGTAACTACAGGGGAGCAGGGACCCTGGTCACAGGTCCAGGGCAAAGAAGAGTGCTTATGGTTGCTCACAGATCATATCATAGGCCAGGAGAGCAGTGACCACACCTCTCCTTAAATCATACCACTTTGAAAAATTGAAAACTTACAGACTCTCCCCAACCCTGCCAAACTCACTCCAAAAACAGCAGTAAGAAATGCCTAAAGTTTAGGACAGTGCCCCCTCCACAACAAGAACAGAGTCCAACTTTAACATAAAGTAAAAAGTCAAGAAATAGGCTAGAAAATGGGCAAACAACAAAAAAAAAAGAACATGACCATAGAAAGTTACTATGGCGTCAGGGAAGATCAAAACACAAGCTCAGAAGAAGACAACAAAGTCAAAACTGCTACATTCAAAGCCTTAAACCAAAATGTGAATTGGTTTCAGACCCAAAAAAGAATTCCTAGAAGAGCTCAAAAAGAAATGTTAAAATCAAAGAGGTAGAGGGAAAAATTGGGGAAAGAAATGAAAATGATGCAAGAAGATAATGAAAAAAGAGTCAATAGCTTGATAAAGAAGGCACAAAAAGTACTGAAGAAAATAACACCTTAAAAAAAGAACAAGTCAAATGGCAAAAGAGGCACAAAAATCCACTGAAGAGAATGCCTTAAAAAGCATAATTGGCCACATGGAAAGAGGTAAAAAAAAATTTTACTGAAGAAAAGAACTGGGGCAGCTAGGTGACACAGTGGATAGAGCACTAGCTCTGGAGTCAGGAGGACCTGAGTTCAAATTCAGACACTTGACACTTCCTAGCTGTGTGACCTTGGGCAAGTCACTTAATCCTGACTGCCTCATCAAAAAAAAAAAAAAAAAGAACTCCTTAAAAAGTAGAATTTGCCAAATAGAAAAGGAGAGGAAGGGGATAAGAGAAGAGGGGAGGCTTATGGGGAGGGTAGATTGGGGAAGGAGGTGGTCAGAAGCAAAACACTTTTAAGCAGGAACAGGGTGAAAGGAGGGGGGAATTGGATGGAGGGAAATACATAGTAATCATAACAATGAATAAACTTTACAAGTTTCTCTGATAAAGGCCTCATTTCTCAAATATATAGAAAACTGAATCAAATTTATAGGACTACAAGTCATTCCCTAATTGATAAATAGTCAAAGGATATGAAAAGGCAGTTTTCGTAAGTCAAAGCTATGTATAGTCATATGAAAAAATGCTCTAAATTACTATTGATTAGAGAAACACAAATTAAAACAACCCTGAAGTACCACCTCACACTTATCAAATTGGCTAACATGGCAGAAAAGGAAAATGACAAATGTTGGCAGGGATGTTGTGCCCATTTCATATGCCAGAAAATTTCTGCTTAAGATTCTGCAGGCTAGGCTTTAGCTGGTTTCCAAACAGGCAGAGGAACTAGAGACTAAATTGCTAGATTATGGATAAAAGTAGAAAATTCCAGAGAAAACATCTACTTCTGCTTTATTGGCTACACTAATCCTTTTGACTATGTAGATCACAACAAAATGTGGCAAATCCTCAAAAAGATGTACCAGAGTACCAGATCATCTTACTTGTCTCTTGAAAAGCTTGTATGCAGGTCAAGAAGCAACAGTTAGAATCGAACATGTAACAACTGATTGGTTTAAGATTGGAAAAAGAAGTATGACAAGGGTGTGTACTGTCACCTTATTTATTTAACTTACATGCAGATTACATCATGCAAAATGATAGGCTGGATGAATCAAAAGCCAGAATTAAGGTTGCCAGGAGAAATATCAACTCAGACACATAACAATACCATTCTGGTGGCAGAAAATGAAAAAGAATTAAGAAGCCTCTTGATGTGGGTGAAATAGGAGAGTGTAAAAGCTGGCTTGAAGCTTAACATCAAAAAAACTAAAATCTTGGCCACTGTTCCCATCACTTTCTGGCAAATAAAGAGAGAAGAAATGGAAGCAGTGTCAGATTTTATATGAGCTGAAAGATCACTGCAGACAGTGACCGCAGGCATGATATTAAAAGATGCTTGCTCCTTAGAAGGAAAACTATGATAAATCTAGACAGCTTACTAACATGCAAGAGATATCACCTTGCCAACAAAGGTCCATATAGTCAAAGCTATAGGTTTTTCCAGTAGCAGTATATGTCTGTGAAAGTTGGACTATAAGGAAAACTGAGTACTTTTGAATTGTGCAAATTGGTTTCATACCCAAAAAAGTATTTCTAGAAGAGTTCAAAAAGAAATTTTAAAATCAAATAAAAGAGGTAGAGGGAAAAAATGGGGAAAGAAATGAGAATGATGCAAGGAAACAATTGACACTTTTGAATTGTGGTGCTGAAAATAACTTCAGAGAGTCCCTTGGACAGCAAGGAGATCAAATTAATTTATAATTAAAGAAATTAATTGAGATTGGAATTAATTCAGACTGGAAGGGCATATACAGAAGCTGAAGCCTAAATAAGGCCACATAACAAGAAGTCAGGACTCATTGTAAAAGACCCTGATGTTGAGAAGGATTGAGGGCAAAAGAGAAAAGGGAGGGCAAAGGATGAGATGGATAGACAGTGTCATGGGAACATGAACCTGGACAGACTTCATGGAGGACAGAAGGGCTTGAGGTGGTGTGGCCCATGGGGTCACAAAGAGTTGAACCCACCTGAATGACTGCAGAACAACAAAAAAGCACAGTTGGTGGAGTTTGAACTGATCCAATCATTCTGGAGAGCAATTTGGAACTATGCCCAAAGTGCTATATAATTGTTCATACCAGCAATACCATTACTGGGACTATATCCCAAAGAGATTTAAAAAAAGGAAAAGGACATATGTGTACAAAAATATTTATAGCAGCTCTTTTTGTGGTGGATTAGAATTGGAAATTGAGGAGACGTCCATCAATTGGGAATGGCTGAACAAGTTGTGGTATATGAATGTAATGGAATACTATTGCACTACAAAAAATGATAAGCAGAGTGCTTTCAGAAAAACCTGGAAAGACTTATATGACCTAATGCAAAGTGAAGTGAGCAGAATCAGAACAATGTATACAGTAACAGCAATATTGTACAATGATTAACTGTGAATGGCTTAGCTATTCTCAGCAATGCAATAATCCAAGATAATTCTGAAGGACAGATGATGAAAAATAGTATCCATCTCTAGAGAAGGAACCGATGGAGTCTGAATTCAGATCAAAGCATATTTTTTATTTTATTTTTCTTCAATTTTTTTGGTTTGTGATTTCTTTCACAACATGACTGATATGGAAGTATGTTTTGCAAGACTGCACATATAGAACCCATATCAAATTGCTTGCCTTCACAATGAAAGAAAAGGGAAGGAAGAGGAGAGAATATGGAACTCAAAATTTTTTTAAAAATGTTAAAAATTGTTTTTACATGTAATTGGGAAACATTTTTAAATAAGAAAAAGTGATGGAGAAAATTTTAATAGTAAAGATTAAACTTAATAACATGTTTATATGTGTGTGTATAATATTTGCCCCTTTCCAAAGTGTAAATGTTCACTTTGAAAATTTCACAATTGGCTGGTTCTCAGTTAGAGCTGATAGGAGTCCTCCCTATTGAAGGGGAGGATAGTCTTTGAAAGAGTTGAGGAAGCATGCTCCCTATAAAAAGAAGGCTTTATAGCTTTTAAAACACACACACACACACACCCCAAACCCATTGGTCTGGGACTCTCCTCTTGGTAGAGATGAAGGCTCTGCCCTTTCCTAAGGGTGGGAAGAAGCCTGCAGAGAAATTTCCCCTTGGTTGTGATCTCTCTTGGTTGAGCTGAGTTACCTCATTCTCAATGGGACATCTCCTTCACTCTGTATTATCTGGAATAAGTTTGGCATATTGCCTCCACCTTCTCCGATCTCTATTTGGCCATGACTTGGACAAATGGGTTTCTTTGCTATTTGTATGGGTGTTCATTGTGGAACTGGTATTTGGTAAGAAAAGGGTGAAACCTTGGATATAGAGCATGGGTTCCTCATTCCCTCCTAGAATGACACAAGGGCCAGAAATTATATTGAACATGATCATTCCCTTTAGCCTAATAATAGTTAGGGGAGCCTTGATATAATTCTAGACCAGTACTCACTCTCTGAGGACAGCAGAGTGGCCTCCAGCTCCAACTTTCTACTTTCCTCCTGGAAGGAATTAAAGTTTCCTTTGGAGAAAGTTGGGGGAGAAGAGGCTAGAGATGTCTATTCTATCTCCTTGCAAGTCATGCAAACCAAACTCATGCTAAGGGGAGAGGGGGTAGGGGAAGAGAGACGGATCTCATTTCATATCCTTCATTATAAATGTAACAATTATTACACTCATTTTATATGTATACGTAGGTATGTGTGTGTGTATATATATATACACACACACACAATATATACAAATATATAAACACACACATATATATACACACATATATTTGTAATATATATTGACCTTATACTACCAAATATACATTATCAAATATATTAGAGAGGCAATTGTTAAGCATTTAACAGCATATTGCTGAGTGCAACCATATGATTGCCTTGTAGTGTCATCGTTTAGAGGACTAACCTCATATGTGTATATTCATATTTTTAAGCACACTTGACAGATTAGATGAATTATATACTTAAAATCTGCCCAGGAAGGGCGGAAAGTGGCAGTGTTTGTTTCTAATTCTAATTAGAATTAGAATTCTAGAATTCTAGAATTAGAATTCTAATATTTTCCTGATATTTGGGGAAAGAGAAAAAATCAAGGAGGCACAATTTGACCTGATATTTTTGCAGCTTTAAAAATTTATATCATATGAACTATGTCAAGGAGATTTGAGCATATGAGAATAATAATAATAATCTTTCACAAAGTGTTAAGTGACTGCACTGTAGAATTTTATCTTTGTATTGCCTGTGTATGTGAGTATAATATTTGCTCATTTCCAAGGTGTAAATGCTCACCCTAAAAATTTCACAATCGACTGGCTCTCAATCAGAGCTGGTAGGAGTCCTTCTTCAAGAAATAATTCAATACCTCAGGACTGATACTTTCTATTTACAATTGAGATAATTAATTAGAAAGGTGTGGCAAGCAGAAATAAGAAGCATCAATTAGTTTAATAAATTCATCCATGATATGAAAAACTGAATTTTCTTGCAAAACATTCATATAACACTATCCTTTAAAATAGCATACATACTAAGTAGACATACTACTAAATGAAGAATTTTAAAGCATGAAAATATTTACCTCTTCTTGAGGCTTCAAAACTATCAAAAAGATTAATTCTCTGGATGTCATAAGTTAATGTATTATTAAGTATAAGTGTTCGGTTTCTGTTAATATTGGTTACTGCAAACTTGAAAGCTAATTCTTCAACATTAACTGGTTCATTTTCTGCAGTTTCAAAAATTCCTCCTGTAGAAGCAAAAGATAAATAAGAAGCATTATTCACATTACTTTGGGGAAGATTGTGATACAGATATGAGAAAATAAAACTGAAAGTCCTAAGTACTCAACTCATCAAAGGGTTAGAATTTGTTTTCTATGTCATGTGTCAAGCAAGGATAAATAGTTCAATTTCTAAATGTACATACTCCCTGTATATAAAAATGCAGAAAGATGTAGTGCTTTTTGACAATGGAAAATGACAAATTGTTTTTTTCCCACAAATTAAGTGTTTTATAGATACTAAGTGATGATATACCTTGAGTGGTGATGTCTCATGATTTTTTTCATAGTGGAAATTAATAAAATATTACTGAAATAATTTATAAAAATAAGATTCAGAAAATCTCAATCACTACTTTAATTTTAATGATGTTGTTTTAAGATTTTTCCCTACTTTATTTTGAAATAATTTATGAATAATTTGTGTTCAAGAATTTTCTGTTTTTTTTTTAAATTTGATTCGAATGGAAATAATTTTTTCCTCTAACCCTTGTGGGGGAGAGGGTCTGAAAGGCCTATTGACCTTTTCCTATTCTAGATGAGAAGCATTTTATAGGTCTTGCCATCTGTTGTAGTAAGATTATCAGGTAGTCAACACTGACAAAATATACTCAGTTATTGCAATGTAGTAGACAAAAGCTGTATGCATTGTAAACTTGTTGCCATAATTATACAGAGTAGTTAGGTGGTGTAGCTGGTAGAGCATCAGGCCTGAAGTCAAAAGGACCTGAGTTCAAATCTTGCCTCAGACACTTACTAGCTACATGGTCCTGGGGAAATCATATAACCCTGTTTGCCTCAGTTCCTTTTCTGTAAAATGAGCTGGAGAAGGAAATTGCAAATCATTCCAGTATCTTTGCCAAGAAAACCCTAAAGTGGGTCACAAAGAGTCAAATATGAATGAAATGACTCAACAATAACAACAAAACAAATGCTGAACATCATTTAGCTTAATCTCAAACTGGAATGTAGTATGAGTATACCTGTATGGTATTCCAATGGAGGAAACTGATCAATGATATATCAAAAGTGATTTTTGTAATGGAATTGGAGTGTATATATAGTTACTACTATCTGTAATTATTAGAGTTTTCCCAACTTTACAGGTATGCCCTTTGTTTATCCCCATTTCCTTCCAGTTTTCTGCATTATTGTAATGGCAACATGAGTCTTGAGTCTCAAAAGCTGTCAGGGCAGAGCACAAGATCTGACAGGTTCTATTAAGACAGAAAGATTTCAAGTATGATCTCTGTGACAAGCTGCGCTAGGACCAGCCTCACTAAGTTTGGAGAGGCTAAGTACCAGTGGGCTGCCCATTAAGTGATGGATTCTTTGGCCATAGTGATGCACAAAACAAAGACGAATAGTGCTCCCGGGCAGCCCTTTCTCTGCTTCTGTGGAAACAGTGGCAAAAAAAAAAAAAAGGAAGATTGAGGGAGGCAGGTAGACTAAGAATCACAGAATTTTTAGGCATTTTAGAAATTAAATGTTATATTTTAATCAAAGCAAAAATCTCCCCCAGCACCTCCTCCAACCTTCCTCCCCCATTTGAAAATGAAAGAATGACAAAACCCTTGGTACCAATATGTATAGTCAAGTAAAAAAGTTCTGCATTGGCCATGTATATTTATATCTATCTATATCAAGACAGACACACATATACATGTGCATATATCCACATACAAGATAAAAACACATTTGTCTGTATGTATGTATAAAACATAAAAATCTATATGCATACATGTCTATATATATATATGTATATAATGAGTATATATGCATGCGAATGCATATTGAATCCTTCACCTCTCAAGAGGTACAGTGGATAGAACACTGACCCTGGAGTCAGGAGGACCTAAGTTCAAATCCAGCCTGAGACACTTAGTAGTATGTGACCCTGAGCAAATCACGTAACCATGATTGCCTCCCTAAAAAAAATTATTTGTTTTTACCTTATTTTGTCATTGTATAATTGTTCTTCCGGTTCTGTTCACTGTACTCTGAATCATTTTATATAAAGTCCTCCCAGGCCATTCTGAAACCATCCCTTTAATTATTTTTCTATGGTACATTTATATACAATAACTTGTTTGGCTATTCACCAATTTATAGATGCCCACTCAGATTCCCATTCTTGGCTACCTCAAAAAGAGCTATAAATATTTTTGTACAACTTTGGTTAGAGTTTGTTTTTTAGGATTAAACCCTCCTTTCATCTACCTCCCTCTAATTCCTTCTCCCCTTTTCCTCCTATTCCCCTGGGTGAAATGTATTTCTGTATTCACATGTGTGTTACCTTCTCTCCTTAGACAGGTTTATATGAGAGTCAGGTTCAGACGTTAGCTGCTCCCTGCTCCCACTCAGTCCTCCTTGTCTGTATACTTGTGTACACTCACCCACCCTGATACTGCGAAGTCACTTTTCCTAACTTTCCTTTCCCCCTACGGGGGTATTCTTCTTCCCCTTTCTTTCCATTCTTCTCTAAGGATCATCAAAACATAGCAGAACTGCTCCCAGGCCTGGTCTAATTAGACTCCTCAATGATCCATGCTGATGGTGAAGGTTAAAGAGACACATATATCACTTCACTATATTTGAATTTAAACAGTGTATCCTCATTTCCCTACGCTTGACATTCCGCATTTCTCCCCATTCTTATTTATTCATCTTTACCTTTTTATGTTTGTCTTAACTGCTGTGTTTGAGCTTCAAAGTTTCTACACAGATCTGCTCTTTGTTTTCTGGTTCTTGGAGATGTAGGCAATTTTCTTTTAATGTTTCTTGAAATATATCTGGGCTCTTTTTTTGGTCATGGTATTCAGGTGTTCTAATGATTCTTTACTTTTTTCTCTCCAATCTGTTCCCAGGTGAGTTATTTTTGCTACCTTACATTTTCTTCATTGTTTTAACATTTCTCATTGTCTCATGGAGTCATCAGCTTCTATTTGATCCATTCAAATTTTCAGAGAGTGTTTTTTTCCCTTGGTCAAGGTTTTGTATCTCTTATGCCAAGCTATTAATTCCCTTTACAATTCTTTCTTCCATTGCTCCCATTCTTTTCCATTTTTTCCTTCTAGCTTTCTCATTTCATTGACAAAACCATTTTAAACTCTTTTTAGCTTTTTAAACATTTTAAAACATTTCCCTCATAATTCTATTTTAATTTGTGCCCAAACTATACATTTCTTTGAGGCTTTGCTTATAGGTTTTTTAGAGTCATTGTTTTCTTTTGGGTTTGTGACTTGAGTATCCCTGTCAGCATAATAGTTTTTCGTGGTGGTTTTCTTTTTTGTTTGTTTTTTCTACCAGGCTATTTCTTGACTTCAAAGTTGATATTAGGATTAGACTCTATACACTTCTAGAGGGAAGGTCTACATTAGTTTTACTGCTGCTTTCTTGGAGAATTGAATATTGTGCTATTCCAGGGTCTCCGGGACAGCTCAAGCTAAGGAACTGCAAGCTTTCCATGCTCCTAAAGAGGTCTGATCCACTTTGTCTGCAGCCCCTCTCCCCAGTCTGATCTCTGCAAGTCCTTGACCTGGGTTCGAGTCTGAGCAACAGTAAACTGATGCTGGACTTAGCTCTTCACAGGTAGCTGGAAAGAGCTACTGGTTCAGAATAGCAGAACTACAGATTGCCCTTGGATCTGGGATTCCTGCCCAGCTGATTCTTCTGCAGGCTTCAGACTAGGCTAAAGGCTGAAACTGCTTTGCTCCTGGAGTCCGAGCCACATCACTGGCATTTGTTTTTTTCCTTGGCTAGGGAATGGGGTTAAGTGACTTGCCCAGGGTCACACAGCTAGTAAGTATCAATTGTCTGAGGCTAGATTTGAACTCAGGTCCTCCTGACTCCAAGGCTGGAGCTCTATCTACTGAGCCACCTGGCTGCCCCAATATTTGCTTTTGATCTTGCTCCTACTTCTTGTGAACACTCCTTATCCTGGAACATCACCCTTGCACCCAGTTTTCCTCCTCTGTCTACCCTGGATCTGTGATCTCTAATGGGGCAGTGGACAACAAAGCTACCAGATGGTATCTAAGAGTTTCTGGAACTACACGTTTCTCTCCCCGCAAGAAACTCTTTATAAGAGACACGTGGAAAGAGAAACAGTAGTAATGTAGAGGAAGCCAGATCCTCCATGTGTCTCTGATTTCATCTTGCCACCCTAGGGACTGCTAGAATGGGCCTCTTTAGGCAAGATCAGACTTTCTCTTCCTTGGTCTGAGCTGAAATCTCATTTTGTCCCCAACTAAAGAACTCATTCCCTCTTGTGCATTCATTAGTATATTCTAATCTGTATAACTTCTCCAATTTCTGTTTGCTATTTTGTTTCGATAAATGTATTTACTTACTATTTGCTGTTTGTGTAAATAACATTTGATTTGAGGAGCTAAGATAGATAAGTCAAATAAAGCATTTATTAAATGCTTACTAAATGCCAGCCATAAAAACAAGAAAAATGACAGTCCCTGCCTCGAAGGAGCTTACATTCAAATAGGGGAAGACAACACAGAAAAAGGAGCTGAAAAGTAAGTAGGGGTGAAGGTTTCTAGTCCTAAGGTATCTACCCTAAGGTAAAGAAATCCAAAGAACCAGGAGTGGAGCTGGGAGAGGAGTGAATAGGGCTGGCTCTGGCACTTCCTTGAATAGATGTACCAAGGAGGCTATAGGAACAGAGACATCTTCCAGAGTGAGAAGACTGCTGGGGGGGGGGAAGCATCTTCTAGTGAGGAGGCTGCTGGGGATAATGCATTTAATCCTATATATTCGACCTTGGCCTTTGGTTATTAAGAATAATTGTTTCTTGACATTTGGCATAATACACCTGATTATCAGGGTGAGAGTGGGGATGAGTAGTAGTCCTTACATGTTTTTTTGAGGGGGGTTGGGAAGCTAAAAGAGGTCTTAAAGCTAACTCTCCTTCCTCCACCCCACCTCCCACAAGGAAAAAAAAAAACTTAAAATAT